GGTATAGGAGGGTGGGGGCAGGAGAAAAGAGGAGTGATTGATGGAATGATGAAGTAAAGGGTGTGATAAAAGAGAAAAAGGTAGCTTATGAGAGGTTTTTACAAAGCAGAAGTGTTATAAGAAGAGCAGAGTATGTGGAAAGTAAAAGAAAGGTGAAGAGAGTGGTGAGAGAGTGCAAAAAGAGAGCAGATGATAGAGTGGGAGAGGCACTGTCAAGAAATTTTAGTGAAAATAAGAAAAAAATTTGGAGTGAGTTAAACAAGTTAAGAAAGCCTAGGGAAAGTATGGATTTGTCAGTTAAAAACAGAGTAGGGGAGTTAGTAGATGGGGAGATGGAGGTATTGGGTAGATGGCGTGAATATTTTGAGGAACTTTTAAATGTTGACGAAGAAAGGGAGACGGTAATTTCATGCATTGGCCAGGGAGGTATACCATCTTTTAGGAGTGAGGAAGAGCAGGATGTGAGTGTGGGGGAGGTGCATGAGGCATTACACAGAATGAAAAGGGGTAAAGCAGCTGGAACTGACGGGATCATGACAGAAATGTTAAAAGCAGAGGGGATATGGTGTTAGAGTGGTTGGTATTTTTGTTTAATAAATGTATGAAAGAGGGGAAGGTACCTAGGGATTAGCAGGGAGCATGTATAGCTCCTTTATATAAAGGGAAGGGGGAAAAAAGAGATTGTAAAAATTATAGAGGAATTGGTTTACTGAGTATACCAGGAAAAGTACGGATTACCAACAGACCCCTGGCAGTCTTTAAGCTGGCACTGGACAAGCACCTAAAGTCGGTTCCTGACCAGCCGGGCTGTGGCTCGTATGTTGGTTTGCGTGCAGCCAGCAGCAACAGCCTGGTTGATCAGGCTCTGATCCACCAGGAGGCCTGGTCACAGACCAGGCCACGGGGGCGTTGACCCCCGGAACTCTCTCCAGGTAGGGTTATTATTGAAAGAATTAGAGGTAAGACAGAATGTAGGATTGCGGATGAGCAAGGAGGTTTTAGAGTGGGTAGGGGATGTGTAGATCAAGTGTTTACATTGAAGCATATTTGTGAACAGTATTTAGATAAAGGTAGGGAAGTTTTCATTGCATTTATAGATTTAGAAAAGGCATATGATAGAGTGGATAGGGAAGTAATGTGGCAGTATATGGAATAGGTAGTAAATTACTAAATGCTTTAAAGAGTTTTTATGAAGATAGTGAGGCTCAGGTTAGGGTGTGTAGAAGAGAGGAAGACTACTTCCCGGTAAAAGTAGGTCTTAGACAGGGATGTGTAATGTCACCATGGTTGTTTAATATATTTAAGATGGGGTTGTAAAAGAAGTAAATGCTTGGGTGTTCGGAAAAGGGGTGGGATTAAATTATGGGGAATCAAATACAAAATGGGAATTGACACAGTTACTTTTTGCTGATGATACTGTGCTTATGGGAGATTCTAAAGAAAAATTGCAAAGGTTAGTGGACGAGTTTGGGAGTGTGTGTAAAAGTAGAAAGTTGAAAGTGAACATAGAAAAGAGTAAGGTGATGAGGGTATCAAATTATTTAGATAAAGAAAAATTGGATATCAAATTGGGGAGGAGGAGTATGGAAGAAGTGAATGTTTTCAGATATTTGGGAGTTGACGTGTCAGCGGATGGATTTATGAAGGATGAGGTTAATCATAGAATTGACGAAGGGAAAAAGGTGAGTGGTGTGTTAAAGTATATGTGGAGACAAAAAACGTTATCTATGGACACAAAGAAGGGAATGTATGAAAGTACAATGGTACCAACACTCTTATATGGGTGTGAAGCTTGGGTGGTAAATGCTGCAGCGAGGAGGCAGTTGGAGGCAGTGGAGATGTCCTGTCTAAGGGCAATGTGTGGTGTGAATATTATGCAGAAAATTCGGAGTGTGGAAATTAGGAGAAGGTGTGGAGTTAATAAAAGTATTAGTCAGAGGGCTGAAGAATGGTTGTTGAGGTGGTTTGGTCATTTAGAGAGAATGGATCATAGTAGAATGACATGGAGAGCATATAAATCTGTGGGGGAAGGAAGGTGGGGTAGGGGTTGTCCTCGATAAGGTTGCTGAGAGGGGTTAAAGGAGGTTTTGTGGGTGAGGGGCTTGGACTTCCAGCAAGCGTGTGTGAGCGTGTTAGATAGGAGTGAATGGAGACGAATGGTATTTGGGACCTGACAAGCTATTGTGAGTGAAGGGATTCAGGGAAACCAGGCATTTTTATATAGCCAGACTTGATTCCTGGAAATGGGAAGTACAATGCCTGCACTTTAAAGGAGGGGTTTGGGATATTGGCAGTTTGGAGGGATATGTTGTGTATTTTTATACGTGTGTGCTTCTAAACTGTTGTATTCTGAGCACCTCTGCAAAAACAGTGATTATGTGCGAGTGAGGTGAAAGTGTTGAATGATGATGAAAGTATTTTCTTTTGGGGGATTTTCTTTCTTTTTTTGGGTCACCCTGCCTCGGTGGGAGATGGCTGACTTGTTGAAAAAAAAATATATATATATATTGTCCAGAGGGCTGAGGAAGGGTTGTTGAGGTGGTTCGGACATGTAGAGAGAATGGAGCGAAACAGAATGACTTCAAGAGTGTATCAGTCTGTAGTGGAAGGAAGGCGGGGTAGGGGTCGGCCTAGGAAAGGTTGGAGAGAGGGGGTAAAGGAGGTTTTGTGCACGAGGGGCTTGGACTTCCAGCAGGTATGCATGAGCGTGTTTGATAGGAGTGAATGGAGACAAATGGTTTTTAATACTTGACGTGCTGTTGGAGTGTGAGCAAAGTAACATTTATGAAGGGGTTCAGGGAAACCGGCAGGCCGGACTTGAGTCCTGGAGATGGGAAGTACAGTGCCTGCACTCTGAAGGAGGGGTGTTAATGTTGCAGTTTAAAAACTGTAGTGTAAAGCACCCTTCTGGCAAGACAGTGATGGAGTGAATGATGGTGAAAGTTTTTCTTTTTCGGGCCACCCTGCCTTGGTGGGAATCGGCCAGTGTGATAATAAAGAAATAATATATATATATATATATATATATATATATATATATATATATATATATATATATATATATTATATATATATATATATATATATATATATATATATTACTAGGCATATTGTATGCTGTGCAATGTCTCATATTGCCACCTGGCATTATATTCTTTCATCACAGAAACTGACTGTTGACATACAAGATACAATGGTTTCCCACTATTTTCTATATGAAGAAATTCTTCCTCCCTATCTGGGCAATCTCATAATTATTATTAATATTAAAAACCAAAATTCATCTCACATGGGTCATTCAGGATGTGGGTCATACAAGACGTGGGTCATACAGGACGTGAGGTCATTCAGGACATGGGTCATACAAGACGTGGGGTCATTCAGGATGTGGGTCATACAGGACGTGGGTCTTACAGAACATGGGTTATACAGGACATTAGATTCTGCTACAGATTTTTGGCTATGTACACCTGAAAGGCCACTAGATTTACGTATATACAATCTCTTGATAGCAAATACTACCATCAATTTCAGAAAAGTACCTATTGATGCAATAAAATAGTATACTGTCTCTGACTGCCTTAGTCAAGTTTAGTTAAAAAGGCTGATTAAAAAAAAAGATTTCCCATTGATTTTTTCCTCGGAGAAAACAAGACAAAATTACAGATTAAGTTTATGAAGACAACGTTTTCAGAGATGCTAAGTAGGATTTTTCTATGACATTTGGCTATCATGGAGGAGGCCAAGGAAGTTAACATTTTGGCAAGCCAAGATGAGGAAACCATACAGGGAAGGATGGAAAAGAGAACGAGAGGGTGTAGCATGAGTCATCAAGTTACTTTTGAAAATAGAAAAACTTGAAAGATGTGAGGCAGCAGTCAGTTGCATTACATGAGGCAGCAGTCAGTTGCATTGTGTGAGGCAGCAGTCAGTTGCATTATGTGAGGCAGAAGTCAGTTGCATTATGTGAGGCAGCAGTCAGTTGCATTATGAGGTAGCAGCAGGGTTTGCCACGACATTTGGCTATCATGGAGGAGGCCAAGGAAGTTAACAAGTTGGCAAGCCAAGATGAGGAAACCATACAGGGAGGGATGGAAAAGAGAACGAGAGGGTGTAGCATGAGTCATCAAGTTACTTTTGAAAATAGAAAAACTTGAAAAATGTGAGGCAGCAGTCAGTTGCATTGCATGAGGCAGCAGTCAGTTGCATTATGTGAGGCAGAAGTCAGTTGCATTATGTGAGGCAGCATCAGTTCCATTATGCAATGTAGCAGTCAGTTGAATTATGTGAGGCAGAGGTCAGTTGCATTATGTGAGGCAGCAGTCAGTCGCATTATGTGAGGCAGCAGTCAGTTGCATTATGAGGTAGCAGCACTTGCATTATGAGGCAGCAGTCACTTACATGCTGCAATAAGGTAGCAAAGTCACAATTCATACTTATAAGTAAACAGTGGCTATACTTTTGACACTATTATATACAAATTGAACTCTGTTCAGTCTGGTGTAGACTAAGTTTCAATTTATCCATGCAATAATTTCCATCTCCAAGTCAAGAAAAGGCTCATTTATTTTTTTATTAACACATCGACTGTTTCCCCACCAAAGCATGGTGACCAAAAATGATGAAACACTTTTATCGTCATTCACTCCATCACTGTTGTGCCAGAGGTGCACCTTCACTACAGTTCAATTATTATAATCAAAGGAAAGCACTAAACCAACAAGGGTCATCACTACAGTTCAAAAACTGCAACATATCTCTGCCCTTCTTTCAGAGTGCAGGCACTGTACGTCCCACCTCCAGGACTCAAGTCTGGCTAACCAGTTTCCCTGAATTCTTTCATGTTACATTGCTCACACTCATTTACATTTCACATTAATAATTTTTTTCATCAGTCAGTTGTTTTGCAACAGTGGAACCTTGGAGAAAGATTTTACTTTTTGCTTGTTATAAATTATGTTACCATCATTTTATATCTAGATTAAATAAAAGGCATGAAGTATTTTTTGCATATTTAATGTGAACACATGGAAAAAATATTTAATTCTGTAGTGAAATATTCACTTGTTACAGGCAAAAATCTTTATAAAACAATAGTTAAGTTACTGGCAAGTGAAGATGTAAGTTCATTTAAATGTCTTGTTATGTCATGGATACATATGTAAGTCATTTAAATGAATCAGTACGACAAAGATAAATATACATACACTGTAATTCATTTAAATGTATTAGTACGACATAGATATGTATATAATTCACTTAAATATATTTGTATGGCATGGATACACATGTAATTCAATTAAATACTTATGTATACCATAGATATGTATGTAATTAATTTAAATGTATTAGTATGACATGGATGCACATATAATTAATTTATAAATGCATTAGCATGGCACGGATACATATGTAGGTTCATATAAATGTATTAGTATGGCTTGAATACAAATTTTAACCCTCTAATTCACACATTTATATGAAATCTTTTTATATCCCTATATAATAAAAATAGAGATACATAATTTATTTTTACAAAATATAGGTAGTCAAAATAAAGATACATCTGTGTCAATCTGAAGATATGGACAGTTATAAAGGATGAGATATGTAAGACTACATATATGTTCACTTTGTATTATCATGGTTATTGACCATATGTCAATATGTCATATTATTTCCCTGTTTACACGTTTAAGGTAGCATATCCAGAAATATATACACGTTCCCTGGTATACGATTTTATCTTTCTTATGCTAAAAAGTAACGACTAACTGGCTGCATTGCTGGCATTGCAACTCTTCTCTAAACCAGAGGAGATGAATGAACATTAAAAACTCTCTCTTAACATATTCCAACATGTTTATGAGAGTACTGATAAAATCACATTTGACACCATACACTGTAGATTGCTTATACATTATGATGCAAAATTTAATACTGAAATTGATAATTCACCCTACCAAAACATTACTTAATGACTACTGGAACAACATGTAAGTGCCATAACAGAGATCTACAATAAATTATACTTAAAAATAAAATACTGTGCCATGCACATTGACTTCTGTAGCTTTGTATGCCATACTAATATACTCAAACTACCCTCTTGTGAAGAATATACTCAGTATATTTTTCATTTGAGTTCCTATGCTTGGAACATAGGACAGTTACAAGTATATATAGACATACTATACAGGGATAAATCAACTTCAGTTAAAACTGCAGGTTAAGGTTTGAGGTATATCAAATAAACAACAACAACAATTTTATTCGAATCTCTGACAAGAGATGTCTATGAATATAAAGACATATATATAAACAAGACACAAAGCAGACTTCTGAAACTATTAAAGCTATATTTCATCTTTGCTTGCAATAAACAATTTATTTTAATACTAGAGAATTGTTTATCAGTTCAAAAATATCTATTAAAGATCCTACTAAAGCTTCAAGTATTCATTACAACCAAAGACATCAGAATAATATCCTTCTCTGGCCCTACATTTACCCCTTTTTTATTTCGTTACCACTCGCCTAAATTTATATCACAGATCACTCCTGGTAATTTTACATTTACCAGAACACAGCCACAGCTTATCACTAGTGTTCAGCTTCATGTGGGGTGATAGAAGACGCTTCTTGTAGGAAAGTTTGCACGAGACTGGCCACCTGCCGACCACTGCTCCCCAAAATAAAACTCTCGTGGGTTCCAGCAATTTCTTCGATCTTCAGAGTTCCACCGATGATCTGTAATATCAAAATTAGTATATTGAGTGGGTGATTATATTTTAATTTCTTTGAGTAAAACAACCAAGAAATTATACATTTAGGGTGTCTCGAGGGAGGGTCTTTGATCCTGATGAGGGGTTCTTGATCCAAAGCACTGGACTTATCCTCCCCTTCCTTGGATCAAATCAGATTGCCTCTCATTCCTCAGGCATAGCATGACCCTAAGGGTTTAGTGCTCTCCCCTAAATATATGTACTACTACTACTACTCTAAAGGAGAGGTTTGGGATATTGGGTGTTTGGAGTGACATCTAAACTGTCATGTCTGGGCACCTCTGCAAAGACAGTGATATTGTGTGAATGATGGTGAAAGCTTTGAATGGTGGTGAAAGTGTTTCTTTTTTGGGTCATCCTGCCTTGGTGGGAGATGGCCATCATGTTGAAAATAATAATATTAATAACAATAAAATAGTAATAACAAGGACTAAAAGGGCACAATACCATGATTAGAACAATACACAAATAACCTGCAAAAAGGAGACTGAACTTATTTAGATGTTTTACATGACCAGTCACTTACAGTCCAGTTTAATATAGACCAGAAAACTGGAACCATTAAGATGCAAAATAAAATATTAACTGATTCTGATTCAATGCTTTATGACAATCATACAAGAATTAAGAAGGGGTTTTAGGTGAAACTCTACGTAACACAAAGATAGGGTAATTCAGTTATTTTATAATAACTTAATACATTCTCCTTTAATCAAAAGATTAAAATCAATGACTGATTACATAAGCCATTCTCACCTTGCCTAGGCCATAGTCATGCCCAAGGGCAGCAGCCTGAAGGTTGTCTCTGGCACGCACCAGGAGTGTAGGAGGAGTCAAACAACCGTCTGCCTTGTGTTTATTTCCAGCTAGCAAGCGCTTGTACAGCAACTCTGCTGCCTTCACTGCCTGTAATCCAGAAGAAAATGGTTTTTCATTATTAGTTATGCTTTGTAATTTTATACATTCATTAAAATACTATTTTGATTTGCAAATAACTTACTGATTTAAACAATGAAATGACATATTTAACTGTACAAATAACCTTCGTTATTTGAAAGCAATATTTTTTTACAATGTTAAGAGCACTTAAATATGTATTAATACAAAAATGAAATAAAATTTTTACCATAAATAATGGGAACAGTTGCATCAGTTAATAAGGGGCTGTGGTGGTACAGGGAGATGGGTAACTTCTTTAAAACTTTCAATTTTATATAATTTAAATACTGCTAAATTATCACGTTGACAACAGCATCGCCTTCACGTGAGTACAATGCTTAGTGATGCTTTCTATGTTCAGTATTAAGAACTAAAAATGTATACTGCATGTAAAATGCAGAGACTGCAAATGTTACCTGCTGTTGATCATTCTGATGCAAAGCAACATCTGCCTCTGCTCTCTTTTGGGTTATCAACTCAGCTACCTGGTTCACCCGCTCATCCCAGGACTTCAAGCCCAGCAGTGCCTTCTTTAATGTGGTAGGGTCCACTGACGTGAACTGCATAGCAAACACAATCAACATCTCTACTTGGTCTTGGATTTCATTGTTTGCTCTGCTTGACTCCTGATCAGGAGCACTGGAAACATGTCTCGATTTGTAACCTTTAATAATGCCAGACACGTAAGACTGAGAACCATCCAGTAGAACAATTGAAATTGGGACGCGATTCTCTGCTTCCAGAAGACGAGTCATTTCAAGGGCTACTGCAGTACCAAAGGAATAGCCTCCAATGGCAAAATCTCCTGAAGGATGCAACTGTTGCAATTCCTGTTTAAAATAATGAAATTTCTTTTAAGTATTAAAATAATAATAATAAATTATGTACTGAACATATATCTCATAATAAAATGGAAATAATATGTGTAAACAGATTTTAATAGCAAAATTATTACAAAGTCATTCTGTTGGTGACTTTACTACCAACATAGGTATTTATATTACTGATAAAAGTTCTCACCTGTACCAACACTTTTGCCATGTCTGTAATTGACTGATGGGAAACATCAGGTGGATACTGCAAGCCATACACTGGTTGGTCGAGCCCTTGTGCAACTTCAGTGAGGGGTACAGCTGTACCTTGTATGGGAGCTGCTAGAAACAGAGGTACATGGGAGCTACCAGTCTCTCGCAGCACTGTCACTCTGCTCTCCGCCACTAAAGGCAGCATAAGCCATGGCTGAGGCAACACCTGTAGTTCTTCTAACTTAGGTTTAACTGCACTCTTGGCTGATGAAACATCTGGTCCTGTAATTTCTACTTTTATTAGTGCATTATTCACAAAAATGATTCCGATTACATGTTAGGCTATGCTATGCTCTTATATCAAGTGCCATGTTTTCACACTTGCATCATTACACTAAATTTGTACTAGAGGCAATAAACTAAATTTAAGAACTTAGTGTGATAGCTTTATTATGAGTCTAATACCCATGATGTTGGAAGCACTCAGAAAGTAATACAGTAGATACACATAACTGGGCCAGTAGGGGCTGGACCCAAACATTTTGTTAGCTAAGTAAGCTACAGCAGTAATGAACAATTTACAAATTTATTGATTAAAAAATAAAAGAAATTATTTTTGTACACAGAAATTGAGAACTAAAAGATAAATTTACCCAGTACTTACCATCAGCTGTTGTCTGTCCAGATGTGCCAGCTTGCTTGTCCATGTCTTGAAGCATCCGCAGCGTGAGGTCCCTGACTTGAGGTGCAGTGAGGACCAGGTCAGCTTCTCTTTCTAGTGTCTGCTTCACCTCCACACTCATAAGACTGTCGAGGCCCAGGTCTCCAAGTGTCACATCCAGGGGAGCCTTAGAAACATTCTTCATCCCTGCAACATCAGCAGAGATTTGGTAAGTCAAGTTGCAAAATATGGCACTTATATTTGTACATTTTTTAATGAAAATATAGTTTTATCTAAAAATATACCTTGATGAATGCTAATGCAATATAACTAATTAGAAGTACATATACTAAATCTAATGACAGACTGCATTATATTTATACTTCATATTAAGTGCAAAACCCATGTGGGTCATTCAGTGCAAGACGTGGTGGAGGCTTGATCCTCATCTGCTGAGAGTATGACAGATATGCTTCCTATTTGTACTCACCTATGTATGATAAACTGCAAGTCTTTTACATCAAACTGTGTAAAGATTGCGAGACTAACCCAAGATGTTGGCAACAGCTTTGACGAGGGATGTGCTGCCACTAGCATCGGTCTTGGCAGAGCTCTTGGTGAGAGGACAAAGTGAGGACACTATGGGAGAGGAATTCAGGAACAACACATCCAAGCACTCCAACACTGAACGTACTGGTTGTGGTTTTGTCCCGCCAACCTAGTAGAAATTTTTTGGGGGTAAATAACTAGAAGAAAAAATTTATGTAAGCTAAAACACTCTGCACTGTATGTAAACTAAATATATTATGCATTTACCCTGTAGTATAAAATTATTTTCTAAATTTAGGATATTGTTGTTATAGAAAATACAAACTAATAGGCATTTAAAATATTTTTTAATACAAGCTAACCTCATTACTCAAATTTCCACACAGAGTAACTGAAAAATTTGAGAATAATGGAGACATTTAATTTGCTCCACCCAGTTCCAATATATCAGAAAGCCACAGATATCCAACTGATGTAGCACTTTCTTATGCTGCATAAAGCAAGGCTGCAGTAGCCTTGCCCCTTTTACAAGTTGAGAGATGAGCATGCCTCTGCTAATTTGTCATGCATTTTACAGTAAATACACAGAAATACTCGACCTACATAGGTAGAGGGGTCTATATGATCTACTTCACAACACTTTTTCATGCTTTTTATTTCTAAAGGGAATTCTTATTTCCTTTCCTCTCATTGTCATAAAATATGGAGAGATGCTCTTAAAACACCATCAACGACACACCCCTAAGTAGCATCTGAGGATGCCATACTGAACATCATTTATACATTCAAGAGGTTTATGTCTCAGTATATACTACAGATACATGATTATATACACCTGGAAAATCCTAGAGGGACTAGTACCGAACTTGCACACGAAAATCACCCACTACGAAAGCAAAAGACTTGGCAGACGATGCACCATCCCCCCAATGAAAAGCAGGGGTGTCACTAGCACGTTAAGAGACCATACAATAAGTGTCAGGGGCCCGAGACTGTTCAACTGCCTTCCAGCACACATAAGGGGGATTACCAACAGACCCCTGGCAGTCTTCAAGCTGGCACTGGACAAGCACCTAAAGTCAGTTCCGGATCAGCCGGGCTGTGGCTCGTATGTTGGTTTGCGTGCAGCCAGCAGCAACAGCCTGGTTGATCAGGCTCTGATCCACCAGGAGGCCTGGTCTCAGACCGGGCCGCGGGGGCGTTGACCCCCGGAACTCTCTCCAGGTAAACAGCCTCTCCTCACTTAGCGACGTACTCATTTACTGACGATTTGGACTTCGACAGGCTCTCTGACCAGTATGCATACCTAAATAATTTATATTAGAGCTGATTTCCTCTATTCCATTTATTATAATATACAGTACCCTACTGTATAAACATCTTAAGATATACCAGCAATGTTATAAATGGTGCAAAAGTGACATTAAAACAATATCAAAGATGGATGACACAAACCCACTACCATTGGAGTATGCTCGTCACTTAGTGATGAATTCGTTTACCAACATGGTCTTAGGAATGGAACTCCATTGTTAAGTGAGGAGAGGCTGTATATATATACATACAGAAGGTATGTGTGAGCGTGTTAGACAGGGGTGAGTGGAGACAGATGTTTTTTGGGACTTGACGAGCTGTTAGTGTGAGCAAAGTAGTAACATTTATTATGGGATTCAGGGAAACCGGCAAGCCGGACTTGACTCCTGGAGGTGGAAAGTACAGTGCCTGAACTCTAAAGGAGGGGTGTGGGATATTTGCTGCTTAGAGTGACATCTAAACTGCTTTATCTATGCACCTCTGGAAAGACAGTGATAGCGTTACCTATCAAAGTGTTTTTTTTGGGGGGGTCACCCTGTTTCAGTGGGAGACAGCCAGGATGTTAAAAAAATGTATATACTACACACTTAGAGTTTCCATTATTCCTTATTTTTAGGATTAAAGTATTTTAAATTTACTCAGAGATCAGTGCTAATGACCTTTATTGTCAAAGCAGCAAGAGAAAAACTCTCTCTCTCTCTACAAAGTGAGATGATACACTGTTGTCACCCCCTTACATTTATTACAAGTGGTCATATGTGAAAAATCTACTTCTAAAGGCACAAATTATTTTGTTTTGCATTATCTGAAGGGAAGAAAGAATGAAGGTGAAAACAGCCAACATTCACAGTGCTGTTCATTTTCTTTTAAATGAACTTGCCTGTTTATGAGTCACTAATTAGTCAGTGTCTGATATTTTTGCATGCACATTACACTGAAGTTTGGAGGTATCATAATGGCTGGTCAGACATGTATTTCTACACCTGATGGCTATACAGGCATTTCCTGGTAAGTAGCACATGCATGATACCATTACTGGGTATTATGAATAATGCTCAACAGTGGCACTGCCACTTGATTTAATAGAAAGCTCTTAATTATTAGACATTCCAAGTCCCCACAAGTCAAAGAAACAAAAGTGTTTCCCCAAATGTTTCAAAGGAGGCCTGGTCACAGACCGGGCCGCGGGGGCGTTGACCCCCGGAACTCTCTCCAGGTAAACTCCAGGTAAAGAAACAAATAAGTTTCCCTAAATGCTACAATGTAAAAAAATTCATCTTGTACTCATCACTGACCTCCACATCACCCAGGGTGCTCGCGAGAATGCCAACCTCTCCAATGCCACCCCACTGCACAGCAACCCCAGGAAGGCCAGCTTGCACCCGCTGCTCCACCACTCTCTCGCACACACTGTTAGCCCACCCATAGTTGGTCTGACCTGTTAAGTTTAAATTATTTCAATAAGTTTATGTTATAAATACATATTACAATGAATAGTAATCAATCAGTATAAAAAAAATTTGTAATCTTTGCTTTAATAATAATGTAAATCTTAGACTTTTTTTTTTTAAACATATCAGCTATTTCCCACTGAGGCAGGGTGACCCAAAAAAGAAGAAACATTTTCATTATCACTCACTTCGTTACTGTCTTGCCAGAGGTGTGGTGATACTACAATTCAAAAACTGCAACATTTTTTTTTTGTAACAAGCTGGCTGTCCCCCACCAAGGCAGGGTTACCCGAAATAAAAGAAACACTTTCACCATCACTCACATTATCACTGTCTTTGCAAAGGTGCATAGATACAATAGTTTAGATGTCACTCTAAGCAGCAAATATACCAAACCCCTCCTTTAGTGTGCTGGCATTGTACTTCCCACCTTCAGGACTCAAATCAGGCTAACCGGTTTCCCTGAATCCCTTCACAAACAATTACCCTGCTCACACTCCAACAGCTCATCAAGTTCCAAAAAACATTTGTCTCCATTCACTCCTATCTAACATGCTCACACATGCCTACTGTATGTCTAAGCCCTTTGCAACATATATATGCACCATATATAATTTAATATTGTTATTATGATTATTATAGGTAGTAGGTTGGTAGACAGCAACCGCCCAGGGAGGTACTACCGTCCTCCCAAGTGAGTGTAAAACGAAAGCCTGTAATTGTATTACATGATGGTAGGATTGCTGGTGTCCTTTTTTCTGTTTCATAAACATGTACACATTACTAAATTTAAAAGGTGAAACTTTCGTTTTTCCTCTTGGGCCACCCCACCTCAGTGGGATATGGCTGGTGCGTTGAAAGAAAGAATTATGATTATTCAAATGATTAATACCTATACATTATTATTCCAAAGAAAAGAGAGTTTGAGATCTAGGGAATAGGGACGCATGGCTTGCACACCACCCAAAAATTTTAATTTTTATGTTAACACTTTTTCAATCTAAAATATATTCTCCAAAATCTTGCTGATGACAACTCCAGTGTGCCACGCAACTTTACCTTTGCCAATATGTTTTAGAATGACTTCAAGAGTGTATCAGTCTGTAGTGGAAGGAAGGCGGGGTAGGGGTCGGCCTAGGAAGGGTTGGAGGGAGGGGGTAAAGGAGGTTTTGTGTGCGAGGGGCTTGGACTTCCAGCAGGCATGCGTGAGCGTGTTTGATAGGAGTGAATGGAGACAAATGGTTTTTAATACTTGACGTGCTGTTGGAGTGTGAGCAAAGTAACATTTATGAAGGGATTCAGGGAAACCGGCAGGCCGGACTTGAGTCCTGGAGATGGGAAGTACAGTGCCTGCACTCTGAAGGAGGGGTGTTAATGTTGCAGTTTAAAAACTGTAGTGTAAAGCACCCTTCTGGCAAGACAGTGATGGAGTGAATGATGGTGAAAGTTTTTCTTTTTCGGGCCACCCTGCCTTGGTGGGAATCGGCCAGTGTGATAATAAATAAATAAAAATAATTTTTCTAAAACACACTAAGAAACTGAACATATATAGCATAAAGTTAAATGTTCACACAAGACAGAAGCAACACAAAATAAACAAAAAGCCAGTCGGTAAATAAGAAAAAATCCTAAATACCCAGTGTACTTTCTTTCACTGTACATGTATTTAAAATCCAAGCTAAAAAACCTCTCCAATATTGGTCCTCCACTCAAAAGGAGATTCATATATAAACAGCAACCAAAAAATGAGCAAAATTTTGAAGCTGTATGAATCAGTTTTCAGCAATTCAATCAACATCATGAAAATTGAAGATCCAGAAAATTCTTCACTGACTGCCCACTCTACAAATTATATGATAATCACTTCAGTACAAGATACAGAAAATTACAATTAGATATCATCAATAAAGTCTTCAAATGGGTAAATAAAAACAAAAATAACATGATGTTCAATTTTAACACATTTAGCAAAAACAAAAAGAACATAATGTTCAGTTCTGATAAATTTAACAAATAAAAGTAATGTGATATTCAATTTTAACAAATTTAACAGTAACTGTCCAGGGAAGTATTACTGTCCTTCCAAGTGCATGTAAAATGGAAGCCTGTAATTGTTTTACATGATGGTAGAATTACTGTCTTTTTTGTCTCATAAACATGCAAGGTTTCATGTATGTCTTGCTACTTCTACTTACACTTAGGTCACACTACACATGCATGTACAAGCATATATAGTATATACATTCCCCTCTGGGTTTTCTTTTATTTCCACATTAGTTCTTGTTTGTTTCCTCTTATCTCCTTGGGAAAGTGGAACAGAATTCTTCTTCCGTAAGCCATGAGTGTCATGAGAGGTGACTAAAATGCCGGGAGCAAGAGGCTAGTAACCCCTTGTCCTGTATAAATTACTAAATTTAAAAAGAGAAACTTTCGGTTTTCTTTTTAGGTCACCCTGCCTCAGTGGGATATGGCCAGTTAGTTAAAAAAAAAAAATTACGAGAGCCTTCAGTGCTTACCAGCATTGCCCCTGCCACAGGTAACACTGGAAAAAGCCACCCAGATGTGCAGGTGAGGGCACAGAGTACGGGAAGCAGCATCAAGGGCCTGGGCTCCTTCACCCTTAACAGCATTCACAGCATGGAACATCTCTGCCGTCTGGTTCTCCAGTAGGGCATCTTGCAGTACCTGCCATTCCACAAATCTACATTATTTTCTTTCTTACCACTCAGATAAATTATTTCTTAAATACAAAAGAAAGTGAGGCATATGTAGAAATCTTTTACAATTATTTCCAGCAAAACAGAATGATGTATGTCTGGGCTTGGTAGGTAAGTGTGTCAATGGTCATCAGAACTGATCTACACAACAATGGTACTCTGCCCCTTCAAAGTAAATACTTGCTTTTATTTGAAAAAAAATTACATTATAGCTAGACTGAACAATGGTGTGTAGTCTCCATCAGTTATTTCCAGCAAATAACACAATGCATGACTTATCATGGGAAAAAATTGAGTGAAATACCAAATGTCAACAGTAGCCACCATTCTGTCCCATTCCAGCTACTCTCCCTATCAATATACTGTACTGTACTGTTCATATACAAAAATATGTGCAACTATATCTTCTATGGTTTAAACTAATAATATCACAACTTTTTTTTTGCTCAATTTATCTGATCAGATATTAAGAAAAAATCAAAGGATTCCACCACATTATTTTGGATAATTAAAGATTTATTATTGTTATTATTAAACATTCTAACCAGAGAGAAACTTCGAACGTGTTTCTTACCACAGCAAGATGAAAGATGCCACCAACAGGCCCCTCTTCAGCAGCCATCTTCAGTAGTATGGTGGCTCCAGCATGGGTGGAGGCATCCTGGGTCATTACTCGCACACTCACTCCAGAGTTCAGCCACCGCCGCATACACAGTGCCTGCAAGGAAAGCACATACTGTACTGACAGCAACAGTGTATTGTTTCTATTTTGTGCAATTTGAAAACAAAAATCCTGTTAAGCGCTAAACCCATGTGGGTCATTCATCGCAAGACATGATGGAGGCTTTATCATTTATCTGCTGAGTGAGAGACTGATGCACTTCCTATTTGTGCTCACCTAGTTGTATGGCTATACACTTGCCTGTGGTTATAGGCATCTGAGGATCAATTTTCAAGTGAATATCCCAAGAAAAGATACAAAATATACATTTTTTTTTTCAACAAGTCGGCCGTCTCCCACCTAGGCAGGGTGACCCAAAAAGAAAGAAAATCCCCAAAAAGAAAACACTTTCACCTCACTCACACATAATCACTGTTTTAGCAGAGGTGCCCAGAAGACAACAGTTTAGAAGTATATACATATAAAAATACACAATATATCCCTCCAAACTGCCAATATCTCAAACCCCTGCTTTAGAGTGCAGGCACTGTATTTTCCATTTCCAGGACTCAAGTCCGGTTATATAAAATAACCGGTTTCACACTTCAACAGCTTGTCAGGTCCCAAACACCATTCGTCTCCATTCATTCCTATCTAACATGCTCATGCACACTTGCTGGAAGTCCAAACCCCTCACCCACAACACTTCCTTTACCCCCTCCCTCCAACCTTTTTGAGGACAACCCCTACCCCGCCTTCCTTCCCCTACAGATTTATGTGCTCTCCATGTCATTCACTTTGATCCATTCTCTTTAAATGACCAAACCACCTCAACAAACCCTCTTCTGCCCTCTGACTAATACTTTTATTAACTCCACACCTTCTAATTTCCACACGGAATTTTCCGCATAATATTTACACCACACATTGCCCTTAGACAGGACATCTCCACTGCCTCCAACCGCCTCCTCGCTGCAGCATTTACAACCCAAGCTTCACACCCATATAAGAGTGTTGGTACTACTATACTTTCATACATTCCCTTCTTTGCCTCCATAGATAACATTTTTGCCTCCACATATACCTCAATGCACCACTCACCTTTTTTCCTTCATCAGTTCTATGATTAACCTCATCCTTCATAAATCCATCCGCTGACATGTCAACTCCAAAATATCTGAAAACATTCACTTCTTCCATACTCCTCCTCCCCAATTTGATATCCAATTTTTCTTTATCTAAATCATTTGATACTCTCATCACCTTACTCTTTTCTATGTTCACTTTCAGCTTTCTACCTTTACACACACTCCCAAACTCGTCCACTAACCTTTGCAATTTTTCTTTAGAATCTCCCATAAGCACAGTATCATCAGCAAAAAGTAACTGTCACTTCCCATTTTGTATTTAATTCCCCATAATTTAATCCCACCCCTCTCCCGAACACCCTAGCATTTACTTCTTTTACAACCCCATCTATAAATATATTAAACAACCATAGTGACATTACACATCCCTGTCTAAGACCTACTTTTACCGGGAAATAGTCTCCCTCTCTTCTACACCCTAAATATACATACACTGTATGTGATTCAAAACATGATTTTTAGCAAGCAAGAATATCTATCACAGAGATAACCTACACTAACGCCACAGTAATGTAAGTTTTTCCTCAAGCGTAAGCAATATTTTTAATATTAATCTGAGTTTTCCAACCAGTGTAAGCTATATTTCCTCTGTTATTCCAACCTGTTCATCAACCCTCTCATTTCAGGCAAGATCAAAATGAGATTGTATCCAGACAAGTTTAAATATTTCATAATTTTCATGCATTTATGTATTGTCACTAACAGCATCAACAATCTTTCATCAGTTTATCTATAGAATATTTGTCTATCAAGCATAAACTAAATACTATACTTTTTTGTTTAATGAACCAGCCATATCCCACCAAGGCAAGTTAACATAAAAAGAAAAATGAAAGTTTTTCTTCTTAAATTTAGCAATTTATACAAGAAGAAGGGGTTACTAGCCCCATGCTCTGGATATTTAAGTCTCCTCTTACGACACTTATGGCTTACTGAGGAAGAATTCTTAAATACTATACTTATGTCCTCTAAAATATTATCATTAACTTACTTGGCCAAAAGTATTCTTGGATTTAGAGGTCCTAAATCAATTATGTGCATCTGTAGTGTTTCTATTGTCTATCATGGGATGGATATTTAGCAAGCAATAGTTACCAATCATCAGTCCAAAATGGCATACCTGATAACCAGTAGTGATACCCCGTCGAGATGTGAGCACCAGCTTCTTGGCCCCACGACTGATGAGCCAGCCAGCCAGTTCTAATCCCAGTCCACCCAACCCGCCTGTGATTACATACACCATGTGAGCCTGGGCAATCACTCTGGGCACTGCCAGCACAGAGTTTGTGTCAGTTAAGATGGAAGATTCGCCAGTTACTTCTGGCTTCACCTCCAGCAAAACCTTACCAATGTGTTTCCCAGTCGCCATGTACCTGTGAATACAAAATGTATTCATCTTACAATTGTTTTATTTTTTATTACACCAATGAACTGTAAATCTCGAAAGAAAAGCTAAATTTTCAATTAAAGGTGAGCACTTTTAGATGTACTATATGAACCAAAGATGAACAACTCTTCCTAGGACAAAAATAAATGCTTGACACTCACTATTTACACATCATAACCAAGAATTATTTTAGTACTGTATCTGCACACCTCTCAAAAGAGTGATAGTGTGAATGGTTAAAATATTTCTTTTTTGGGTCGCCAAGCCTCGGTGGGAGATGGCAAGAGCGTTTAAGAAAAAAATAAATAAGATACACAAATGCTTCGTCTTATAAATTTTCCAATAAACAACTGGGAGCAGTACACACCTGAAGGCATCCTCAGCACAGTCCCTGGTGAAGAGTGTGGAAGGCAGAGGTGTCACAACTTTTGTTTTCAAGCCTTTCACTACCAACTGATTGAGACGCTGTCGCTCTTCAGGGGAGGCATCAAATAGTGCATCTAGCAAGATGCCATGAAAAGTCACATTCTTCAGAAAGATTGCCATGCCTGGAGTGAAGACAATCCTTGTAATGATAAATACAATACAGTAGAACCCCCATATTCACAGATTCGGTATCTGCAGTTTCAATTATCCACAGTTTATTGCTGCCCCAAAATAACCCTAATTATGCTTAATAATGACCTGAAAGTTCCTTAAATCAATCAATCAATCAAGTTTATTCTCTATAAGGATTACAATACGGGGTTTACAGATTTTGGTTATTGTGTGGTTTACATGTAATAAAATACTAATTACAGAGGAGGCCACTAAGACACCTAGCATGGCTAGGCATTTCAAGCAAACTTAGATTAATTCTTAACCCTAAATTATTACAAATTATGGAGTAAGTTGACTAAATACTAAGTTACTAAATACTAGTTTGTGAGTTTAGTAATGTGAATGCTTTTGTTTTGGCACAATACATAGTTTCTATATTGGAGTATCACAGGCAAACTTATGACGAGTTAGGAATCATTATTTTAAGATTAAGATTCGTATTTCTGTGCTTATAGTCAAATGGGTGAGTGAGTGTAAGTGTGAACCACCAGGTGGTTTTTATGTAGTTAGTTGACGGGGTGTATCAGGGAGATAAAATGTTTTCTAACGGTAGTTTTGAAGGTGATGAATGTGTCTGCAGTTCTAGAGTTTTCAGGTAGGGTATTCCAGATTTTAGGGCTTTTGACATACATTGAATTTTTGTAAAGGTTTAGTCGGACACGGGGAATGTCGTAGAGATGTTTGTGTCTGGTGTTATGCCTGTGGGTCCTGTTGCAACTATCAAGAAAGCGTTTTAGGTCAAGGTTAATATTGGAATTTAAGGTCCTGTAGATATAGATTGCACAGTAGTAAGTGTGGATGTTCTGAACAGGGAGTAAGTTTAGATCTATGAAGAGTGGGGGGGTGTGTTGCCAGGGATGGGATTTAGTGATTATTCTTACTGCAGCTTTTTGTTGGGTTATTATTGGCTTTAGGTGTGTTGCTGCTGTTGATCCCCAAGCACAAATAGCATAGGTGAGGTATGGATAAATGAGTGAATAGTATAGTGTGAGAAGGGCATTTTGCGGCACGTAGTATCGTATCTTGGAGAGGATCCCAACTGTTTTGGATACTTTTTTAGTTATGTGTTGGATATAGGTGCTGAAATTCAGGGTGCTGTCGAGGTATAGGCCTAGGAATTTGCCCTCATTATGTCTGGCAATTAGAGTGTTGTCGATCTTAATGTTAAGTTGCGCAACACCTGCTCTGCTACCGAACATAATATAGTAGGTTTTGTTAGTGTTAAGTGTAAGTTTATTGGCTGTCATCCAAGTCGATATTTTGAGCAGTTCCTCATTAACAATGGTGTTGAGGGTGGCAAGATTAGGGTGAGAAATGACATAAGTCGTGTCGTCAGCAAAGAGAATGGGTTTCAGGTGTTGGGATACATTTGGAAGATCAATCCTAAGAGAAGCCATGAAATGCTTCCCATCAGTGAAAAAGTGCTAATTCTAGAGTTATTTTGCAAAATTTATCAATTAAACTTTACCATAGGTACGTATGTAAATGAAAAATGACATACATACATATATATATACAGGGTTCGCTACTATCCACAGTTTGAGATATCCACGGTAGGTCTTGGAATGTATCCCCTGTGGATATGGGGTGACTACTGTATTTCAACAGCTAAAAGTGCAGATAATTTATTTTGCCAGTTTATTTTGGTGATTTACTGTAACAACATTGTGATTTAGTAATAAAATTTTGAGAGCTAATTCCCTACTACCCACCCAATGCTGTGTTGTTGGAGAGATCAGCTTTGCCTATCTCAAGGAAGCGACCATGCTCCTTAAGGCATCTGACTGAGGCCTGGAGCAGATCCCCAGCCAAAGAGTTCAGTACGATATCCACACCACGGCCACCAGTTCGTTCCAATACTGCATACTCAAAGCTCACATCACGTGAATTAGCAAAGTTTTCATCTTTAAGCTGTAAATAGAATAGGTTATAAGTAAAAAAGTTCTCATCTTTAAGCTGTAAGTAACAGTAGCAATGATTTCAATAGACTGAAGAATAATTTCCTAAAAAATCATTATATTATCTAGTGCCTAAATACAATATTATACTGTATTATCAAGCTATGGCAAGAAAAGAGGGACTATAAATGTATTAATTCAAGGATTATGTGGAGTAAAATAAAGATTGGATGTGAAAAGTGGGTTATAATAAGCGTGTATGCACTTGGAGAAGAGAGAAGTGTAGAGGAGAGAGAGAGAGATTTTGGGAAATGTTGAGTGAATGCGTGGGGAGTTTTGAATCAAGTGTGAGAGTAATGGTGGTTGGGAATTTCAATGCTAAAGTGGGTAAAAATGTTATGGAGGGAGTAGTGGGTAAATTTGGGGTGCAAGGGGTAAATGTAAATGGGGAGCCTTTAATTGAGCTATGTGTAGAAAGAGATTTGGTCATAAGTAATACATATTTTATGAAAAAGAGGATAAATAAATATACAAGGTATGATGTAGCACGTAATGAAAGTAGTTTATTAGATTATGTATTGGTGGATAAAAGGTTGATGGGTAGGCTCCAGGATGTACATGTTTATAGAGGGGCAACTGATATATCGGATCATTATTTAGTTGTAGCTACAGTTTGAGTAAGAGGTAGATGGGAAAAGAGGAAGGTGGCAACAACAAGTAAGAGGGAGGTGAAAGTGTATAAACTAAGGGAGGAGGAAGTTCGGGTGAGATATAAGCGACTATTGGCAGAAAGGTGGGCTAGTGCAAAGATGAGTAGTGGGGGGGTTGAAGAGGGTTGGAATAGTTTTAAAAATGCAGTATTAGAATGTGGGGCAGAAGTTTGTGGTTATAGGAGGGTGGGGGCAGGAGGAAAGAGGAGTGATTGGTGGAATGATGAAGTAAAGGGTGTGATAAAAGAGAAAAAGGTAGCTTATGAGAGGTTTTTAAAAAGCAGAAGTGTTATAAGAAGAGCAGAGTATATGGAGAGTAAAAGAAAGGTGAAGAGAGTGGTGAGAGAGTGCAAAAGGAGAGCAGATGATAGAGTGGGAGAGGCAGTGTCAAGAAATTTTAATGAAAATAAGAAAAAATTTTGGAGTTAAACAAGTTAAGAAAGCCTAGGGAAAGTATGGATTTGTCAGTTAAAAACAGAGTAGGGGAGTTAGTAGATGGGGAGATGGAGGTATTAGGTAGATGGCGAGAATATCTTGAGGAACTTTTAAATGTTAAGGAAGAAAGAGAGGCGGTAATTTCATGCACTGGTCAGGGAAGTATACCATCTTTTAGGAGTGAAGAAGAGCAGAATGTAAGTGTGGGGGAGGTACGTGAGGCATTACATAGAATGAAAGGGGGTAAAGCAGCTGGAACTGATGGGATCATGACAGAAATGTTAAAAGCAGGGGGGATATAGTGTTGGAGTGGTTGGTACTTTTGTTTAATAACTGTATGAAAGAGGGGAAGGTACCTAGGGATTGGCGGAGAGCATGTATAGTCCCTTTATATAAAGGGAAAGGGGACAAAAGAGATTGTAAAAATTATAGAGGAATAAGTTTACTGAGTATACCAGGAAAAGTTCACGGTAGGGTTATAACTGAAAGAATTAGAGGTAAGACAGAATATAGGATTGCGGATGAGTAAGGAAATTTCAGAGTGGGTAGGTGATGTGTAGATCAAGTGTTTACATTGAAGCATATATGTGAACAGTATTTAGATAAAGGTAGGGAAGTTTTTATTGCATTTATGGATTTAGAAAAGGCATATGATAGAGTGGATAGAGGAGCAATGTGGCAGATGTTGCAAGTATATGGAATAGGTGGTAAGTTATTAAATGCTGTAAAGAGTTTTTATGAGGATAGTGAGGCTCAGGTTAGGGTGTGTAGAAGAGAGGGAAACTAATTCCGGGTAAAAGTAGGTCTTAGACAGGGATGTGTAGTCACCATGGTTGTTTAATATATTTATAGATGGGGTTGTAAAGGAAGTAAATGCTAGGGTGTTCGGGAGAGGGGTGGGATTAAATTCTGGGGAATCAAATTCAAAATGGGAATTGACACAGTTACTTTTTGCTGATGATACTGTGCTTATGGAAGATTCTAAAGAAAAATTGCAGAAGTTAGTGGATGAGTTTGGGAATGTGTGTAAAGGTAGAAAGTTGAAAGTGAACATAGAAAAGAGTAAGGTGATGAAGGTATCAAATGATTTAGATAAAGAAAAATTGGATATCAAATTGGGGAGGAGGAGTATGGAAGAAGTGAATGTTTTCAGATACGTGGGAGTTGACGTGTCGGTGGATGGATTTATGAAGGATGAGGTAAATCATAGAATTGATGAGGGAAAGAAGGTGAGTGGTGCATTGAGGTATATGTGTGGAGTCAAAAAACATTATCTATGGAGGCAAAGAAGGGAATGTATGAAAGTATAGTAGTACCAACACTCTTATATGGGTGTGAAGCTTGGGTGGTAAATGCAGCAGCGAGGAGACGGTTGGAGGCAGTGGAGATGTCCTGTTTAAGGGCAATGTGTGATGTAAATATTATGCAGAAAATTTGGAGTGTGGAAATTAGGAAAAGGTGTGGAGTTAATAAAAGTATTAGTCAGAGGGCAGAAGAGGGGTTGTTGAGGTGGTTTGGTCATTTAGAGAGAATGGATCAAAGTAGAATGACATGGAAAGCATATAAATCTATAGGGGAAGGAAGGTGGGGTAGGGGTCGTCCTCGAAAGGGTTGGAGAGAGGGGGTAAAGGAGGTTTTGTGGGCGAGGGGCTTGGACTTCCAGCAAGCGTGCGTGAGCATGTTAGATAGGAGTGAATGGAGACGAATGGTACTTGGGACCTAACGATCTGTTGGAGTGTGAACAGGGTAATATTTAGTGAAGGGTTTCAGGGAAACCGGTTATTTTCATATAGTTGGACTTGAGTCCTGAAAATGGGAAGTACAATGCCTGCACTTTAAAGGAGGGGTTTGGGATATTGGCAGTTTAGAGGGATATGTTGCGTATCTTTATATGTATATGCTTCTAAACTGTTGTATTCTGAGCACCTCTGCAAAAACAGTGATAATGTGTGAGTGTGGTGAAAGTTTTGAATGATGATGAAAGTATTTTCTTTTTAGGGATTTTCTTTCTTTTTTGGGTCACCCTGCCTCGGTGGGAGACGGCCGACTTGTTGAAAAAAAAAAAGAAAATTATCAACTGACATAAAAATTTAATACATTACTTTGAAAGTTATCACATCTTACCTGAGGGAAGCGTTTTTGCAGGAATTCCTTCTTCTGTGTGGTGCTGATTGTGGTGTAGACTGTGCAGGAATGGGCTAGAGCAATGCTAATAGCTGCCTGCCCCACTCCGCCAGACCCAGCATGGATGAGTACACTCTCCCCTTGTCGTAGCCCACCACGTACCACCAATGCATAGTATGCCTGAAGAAGTACATCTCATTAATTATTTATGCTTTTTACATATACTTTCCAATAATGTTTACTAAAATTTACTGTACTTAGGTGTAAACTAATTCAGTTAATTCATACATTCCTAAGATGGTACATTAATTTTGAAACCAATTTACAATTACATATTTTTAATGTTTACTGGAACAATCTATGTGTCACATAAAGAACAAAAGTCACAGCACTGTGATGGGAACAATTCACAAATAGCTCATAATTAGAATGAAATGTAAAATGTTTAGTTGGACCTCACCTACTCTGCTCCCAAACATAATGTAGAAGGTTTTGTCTATACTAAGTGTAACTTTATTGACAGTCATCCAAGCTGATATTTTTACAAGCTCTTCATTAACAATAGTGTTGAGTGAGGCAAGATTAGGGTGGGAGACGACAAAAGTCATGTAGTCAGCAAAGAGAATAGGTTTAAGTTGTTATGATACAGTTGGAAGATTGTTGATGTATAAAAGGAAAAGGAGGGGACCAAGACTGCTTCCCTGTGGAATGCCAGTGTCCAGCGGTCTTGTTGACGAAGTGTCCTTAATAAAGATGTATTGCTGTCCATTAGTAAGGTAAAACTGCTACAAGGATAAACAGTTTTAGCAGAGGACTGGTTTATAGGTTATCATCTCTAACATATCTAACATAACAGCAAGTGCTTTGTTACTGTCAGCAAGATGAACACCTCTGTTTTTTGCTCTTTGAAGTACATCAGAAAGAGAGCAGCTATTTTCACCAAAATATTGGAGAGGGCATGAGGTAGCATCAGTGACAGGAAGAGAAGTATAAGCCAGATTACTACAAAGTGCATTAGTTAGGTGAAATGCAGGTTTGATATCTAGAGAACAAAGGATGTTACCATTTAAATAGACCAAAACACTGTTTCATGTTTTCTCTCTAAGTGTGGCTTATTTACAAATACATGTCCCATTTAACAATTTAATATTTACATATACACAAGTTATAATAAGATTTGACACTTCAACAAAATATCTACCAGTGGTAAATGCTAATACATACTGTGGCGTATACTACAGGAACAGTAGCAGCATCCTTAAGAGACCAGGAGGCAGGAACAGACCATGTAAGTAAGGGGTCAGCCCTCACATTGGTGGCCAACCCACCTGCAGCAACCAGACCCATAACACGCTTTCCCTCACTCACACCAGAAAACTCTAAGCCCAAGATGCATTCCTGAGGTAAAACAAATGGAAAGAGTGGGAATATGAACTCGTACAAATTTTAGGATTAACATATTACTGCAGGTCTACATAGAGAGAGTAAAATATGTATAAAATTGTACATGCTTAGCCCTTCATACCTTCGTAGCCAGATCTCCTGGAAGAGCATCAGGTGGTAATTTTCCTGTGGCCAGCATCACATCACGGAAGTTTAGTGGGGCATAGTAAACTTCACACAATCTCAAGCCATCATCAGCTTTGTCATAAGAATGTAGAGAGCCCATCTGGAACCAGGTGAGGGAGGCTAGGTCACCACGAGTAGCCACATTCAGTAGAGCGTGTTTGGAGGGCTGAGGGGCCAGCTGTCCCAGAGACAGGTGTCTATAAGTACCCCAGACACCATCGAAACAGACATTGACAGCCAAGTCATGAGCAAGCAAAGTGGAGCTTATTACTGCCTTTCCTTCAGGAACAAAAAGACACCTGAGAAAGAAAATAAAAATATGTGTAGGAAGTAGCTCATCCTCTTACTTATAATTATATACTACCAGTATGTGAATATTTCTCAGACCAAAAGCATCACTAACATGTAATATTTATTACCCTCAAAAAATACCTTATTTTCTCTCCTCCTGGTTCTTTCCTGAGGCAATTTAAAAGTCCCAGGATTCCTGAAGAGGCATCACCTGAAGATACAAGCCATAAATTTTCCTTCGTTGGGGCCAGTGTCTTCTCCTTCAACATTTCCACCCATGAGAAGTCAGTATCAGTGCCACAGACCTCCAGTGTTGTATGAGGACCCTCAACCTGTCTCTTTAGTAGAGATTTAATAAAGTGAATTAGTATATTATGAAAACCTCCACTTCGATACTTCAAAGACACAGTATTATGAATTGCATGTGATCTAGTTGGTACCCTATATATCAGCCTATCCTCCAAATTAAGAACAGTTTGACTCAAGAAATCGTAATGACATGATTGTAAACAAACCATACCCCCAGCCGGGATTGAACCCGCGGTCATAGAGTCTCAAAACTCCAGCCCGTCGCGTTAGCCACTAGACCATACCCCCGGCCAGGGGTATGGTTTAAGAACAGTTTGTGAGAAAATGCATGTTCAGCAAGGTATGATATACCATTCTGATATACTGCCATATGTAAACCACCTTTTTTTTATGTCAATACTGCCAAGTAATTACATATACAGAAATACAGGTTAATATACAGTATCCTAATCTAACCAAAAATAGATAACAAAATTTCCTAAGCTATTTTGAGTGCACAGAAATATGGGACAGTCAGTTCATCAAATGGTGCATAATTTAACTGAAGAATAGATTGTACTGTATATACAGTACTGGCACTCAGACACTCTGTCTGGTTTAAATAACTTTAAATAACAGACTGTTTCATATCAAGGTAGGGTGACCCAAACAAGGAAAAATATTCACCATTATTCATTCAATTGCCATCTTACCAGAAGTGAAAGACACAGCAGCTTCAATGACTCGCCAAACTATTATTCTTATAAGAAATGCTATACATCAAAAGTACATAGTACATATATAAATAGTTTCATTAATGTGTACAGTTTTTAAATAATAGAGTATTAATATTTCAGTCGAAGAATTTGAGTGTGTTGTGTGGCGACTAAAATGCCGGGAGCAAAGGGCTAGTAACCCCTTCTGCATAAATTGCTAAATGTAAAAAAAGTAGAAAACTTTTGTTTCTTCTTCTTTGGGTCATCCTGCCTCAGTGAGAGATGGCCAGTGTGTTAAAAAATAAAACTGACATTTGGTGTCACAGTTATACCTGGAATATACCTGGAGATCCTCCGAGGAGTAGATGTAAAATAGAAAGAGACAGGCGCTCCCTTTACAGGCGACGGAAAAGAATAACAGAGCGGCTAAAAGAGGTCAATATATTTGAAATGCGTAGGGAGACACTGGTCAGAGAAATAGCAAGCATCGAACTTAAGCTAAAGGAATCTTATAGGAGTCAGGAATCGCGGGAAGAACTAAAAGCCATAAATGAAATCGAAAGAAACCCAAAGTATTTCTTCTCCTATGCCAAATCAAAGTCGAGAACAACGTCCAGTATTGGGCCCCTACTTAAACAAGATGGGTCCTACACAGATGACAGCAAGGAAATGAGTGAGCTACTCAAGTCCCAATATGACTCAGTTTTTAGCAAGCCGCTAACCAGACTGAGAGTCGAAGATCAAAATGAATTTTTTATGAGAGAGCCACAAAATTTGATTAACACAAGCCTATCCGATGTTATCCTGACGCCAAATGACTTCGAACAGGAGATAAATGACATGCCCATGCACTCTGCCCCAGGGCCAGACTCATGGAACTCTGTGTTCATCAAGAACTGCAAGAAGCCCCTATCACGAGCCTTTTCCATCCTATGGAGAGGGAGCATGGACACGGGGGTCATCCCACAGTTACTAAAAACAACAGACATAGCCCCACTCCACAAAGGGGGCAGTAAAGCAACAGCAAAGAACTACAGACCAATAGCACTAACATCCCATATCATAAAAATCTTTGAAAGGGTCCTAAGAAGCAAGATCACCACCCATCTAGAAACCCATCAGTTACACAACCCAGGGCAACATGGGTTTACAACAGGTCGCTCCTGTCTGTCTCAACTATTGGATCACTATGACAAGGTCCTAAATGCACTAGAAGACAAAAAGAATGCAGATGTAATATATACAGACTTTGCAAAAGCCTTCGACAAGTGTGACCATGGCGTAATAGCGCACAAAATGCGTGCTAAAGGAATAACAGGAAAAGTCGGTCGATGGATCTATAATTTCCTCACTAACAGAACACAGAGAGTAGTCGTCAACAGAGTAAAGTCCGAGGCAGCTACGGTGAAAAGCTCTGTTCCACAAGGCACAGTACTCGCTCCCATCTTGTTCCTCATCCTCATATCCGACATAGACAAGGATGTCAGCCACAGCACCGTGTCTTCCTTTGCAGAAGACACCCGAATCTGCATGACAGTGTCTTCCATTGCAGACACTGCAAGGCTCCAGGCGGACATCAACCAAATCTTTCAGTGGGCTGCAGAAAACAATATGAAGTTCAACGATGAGAAATTTCAGTTACTCAGATATGGTAAACACGAGGAAATTAAATCTTCATCAGAGTACAAAACAAATTCTGGCCACAAAATAGAGCGAAACACCAACGTCAAAGACCTGGGAGTGATCATGTCGGAGGATCTCACCTTCAAGGACCATAACATTGTATCAATCGCATCTGCTAGAAAAATGACAGGATGGATAATGAGAACCTTCAAAACTAGGGAGGCCAAGCCCATGATGACACTCTTCAGGTCACTTGTTCTATCTAGGCTGGAATATTGCTGCACACTAACAGCACCTTTCAAGGCAGGTGAAATTGCTGACCTAGAAAATGTACAGAGAACCTTCACGGCGCGCATAATGGAGATAAAACACCTCAATTACTGGGAGCGCTTGAGGTTCCTAAACCTGTATTCCCTGGAACGCAGGTGGGAGAGATACATGATTATATACACCTGGAAAATCCTAGAGGGACTAGTACCGAACTTGCACACGAAAATCACTCACTACGAAAGCAGACGACTTGGCAGACGATGCAACATCCCCCCAATGAAAAGCAGGGGTGTCACTAGCACGTTAAGAGACCATACAGTAAGTGTCAGGGGCCCGAGACTGTTCAACTGCCTCCCAGCATACATAAGGGGGATTACCAACAGACCCCTGGCAGTCTTCAAGCTGGCACTGGACAAGCACCTAAAGTCGGTTCCTGACCAGCCGGGCTGTGGCTCGTACGTTGGTTTGCGTGCAGCCAGCAGCAACAGCCTGGTTGATCAGGCTCTGATCCACCAGGAGGCCTGGTCACAGACCGGGCCACTGGGGCGTTGACCCCCGGAACTCTCTCCAGGTAAACTCTCTCTCCAGGAGAGGGTTTCAGGGGTCAATGGCTGGTCTGTGACCAAGCCTTGAAATGGATCAGGGTCTGAACAACCTGGCTGTTACTGCTGGTTGCACGTAAACCAACGTATGAACCACAGCCTGGCTGATCAGGCACTGACTCGGTGCCTGCCCACCGCCTTCTTGAAGAAAGCCAGGGGTCTATTGGTAATCCCACTTATGCACACTGGGAGGCAACTGAACAATCATGGACTCCTGATGCTTACTGTGTTGTCTCTTAGTGTACTTGTGGCACCACTGCTTTTCATTGGGGGGGATGTTGCATCTCCTGTCGAGTGTTTTGCTTTCACAGGGAATGATTTTCATGTGTATACATGTATTATCATGTCTTTCTTTCAACAAACTGGCCATATCCCCCTGAGGCAGGGTGGCCCAAATGGAAACACGAAAGTCTCTCCTTTTAAATTTAGTAATACGCATATAGAGGAGAAGGGGTTACTAGCCCCTTGCTCCTGGCATTTTACTCACCTCTTACAACACACACATGGCTTATGGAGGAAGAATTCTGTTCCACTTCCCCATGGAGATAAGCAGAAATAAACAAGAACTAGAACTACTAAGATAGAAGAAAACCCAGAGGGGTGTGTGTAAATATCTTCTTGTACATGTATGCGCAGTATCTTTCTTGCCTGCATTCCAGGGAATACAAGTCTAGGGACTTCAACCATTCCCAGTAATTTAGGTGCTTTATTGTACTTATGTGTGCATTCTTCAGGTCAGCAATATCGCCTGCCTTGAAAGGGGCCGTTAGTGTACAGCAATACTGGTTTGAACTTTTCCCTATAAATGTATGCTTGGCTGTTCTCTAAACTGCTTCCTTACATGCTAGAAGGCACTTGTCAACATATAATAATTAACCACTAGTCACTATGTTGCACTCTCAAGATTTTGACTTGTAGACTACCTACTCTTCAGAGATTCGTGAAAAAACTGTCATACTAGTGGCCTCTGAACATGAATATATTTTGGCATACAAGAAATTAATCTATAAGCTAATAAAATAATCATTTTGTATCAGCTATGACATACTTTTCTGAACAGCTTCATGCCAATCTTCTGAACCGAAGCAATCTCATAGCACCCAGCTTCTTTTAGAATTTCTCCCATATCTTCGTTGTTTGTCATGATGAAGGAGCCATAACTCAGCTTGTCAACTATTTCTTTATCTTGACATTGATGGAGGATGAGGAGATGTGGGGGTGGAGACAAGCTAGAAGCAAGGTCAGCCTTCACTACTACTCCTGCAGAACCAAGCTGCTGCTCCTCTTCACCTGATAATTTATCCGCTGTGTGTAGGATGTAGTCAACCTGTTGAGGAATGTGAATGTCAGTGATTTTGTGCAGAAAATGATACATATACAATACTATATACTCTGTACTTCAATATATTCAATATTTATTGACAAAAGTTAACTGAGATATTGGACCAAAAATCAAAAGTTATTTAAATGTCAGATTCAAACTTTAAAGCCTAAAATGTATGGAATTTATTTTTTGACTTACCTTAAGCTGTGGTTTTAAGATGAGGAGATTTGTAAGAGTAAGTGCCACAGAAGTTTCCAGGACAGTACTGGTTATGGTTTGAGAAATGCTCTCTACAACTTTCAACCCTAGACCTAATGAGTTCTCTATGGCTATATCCACGAGAACTCCTAGACTTGTCTCTGCTGTCATACGAGATGAGATCTGATGATGATCTGTCAGATGGAGTGGAACGAACTGATAAGTCTCGAGCAGAGGTCGGTCCTGAATAGGTCTTCTTGGAGCCAATGTGGCCTTCAGTCCCTGAATGACCACACCCTCGCAAGCTATTACTCCAACATGAGAGTTTTGTTGTACCTGGGCAAAGATAGTAAATAGGTGTCAAAGCTAAAAAAGAAAAAGGGAGGGGGGGTATTATACAATGCCTGGGAAAGGGAAGGTGATGAAGTTTATCAGAAATATTGTAAGAGATAAGTTTATACAGAACACACCAAAGAGACTCACCATCACTGTCTTTGGGTCAGGTTCCTGCTTCATATGGTCAAGGAGTTTGCTGGGGTTTACAGAAATTTTGCGTATTCTGGTGGGAAGCATCAGAGCACGTTGTTTGACCCCAAGCAGAGAAAACTGGAGCATCGTGTCAAGGAATGCCACCCAGTTCTCTTTCCACATAAGTTTTCCATGGGTACCTGGTAATTAACAAAATCTAGATTAAGTAATTAAAAATATAGCTAATACTTTCTATGGCTAAATTGTTACATGAAAATTCCTTTCATGGCAAACAATTACACATAAGACTGTGTTTATAAATAGTCCACTCAACAGTGCCCTGAAATATTTCTTACTATTAGGTCTGTTTCTACAATGCCTTGATAGTCTTATGTTTTAAGACTGTTTCAATAATGCTCTGAAAAAAAATCTCACTTTTTTGTTTTTTTTCAGGAATACCTTAAAAATGTCTTACCTTTTAGGTCTGTTTCAGCAATGCCCTGGAAAAGGCCTCCATAATGATAGCCTCTGAGACGAAGTTCTTTGTACACATCTTTCTGTAAAAGAATCTCTCCATTTCCTTCAGCTGCTGAAGCAAGGATATCAAGCAAATGCTTGCTTTCACCAGTGTGGTCTGCTCCTAGGTGAATACAACCTGAGACTGCCACTGAATCACCTACAACTACCTGTAAAATTGATGGGATGTATTAGACCTACGGTTGAACTGAATTTGTAAATATCCATTCTCATTATTTCATAAAATTTATTTTACAAATTGTTTCGTTAACATAATACTACATTAAAAATACTCGACTGAACATTTACAACTAAAAATTTCTGAAATACACTATTCAATTATTACCTCAAATTCTCCTTTGACCAGCAAGATTCTGACAACTAGGGTGGTGGCTGCAGCAGGGGTGTTGGTAGAGGAAGAGAGGACAGTGGCTTGATGGAGTGTTACATTGCTGAAGGTGACTGGTGTCTCATTCCACTGTGTACCCTTCAGGCGGCACAATGCTTGCCAAGCCAGCACCTGCACATGATATTACAAGTTTCATGTAAATACATATACATTTTTTAACTTTCTGGGGGGTTAAAGAAAAAGGTAACGATTTTATTTCTTTGTAAAGGTTACAATGGTGGCCTGGTGGCTAAAGCTCCCGCTTCACACACGGAGGTCCCGGGTTCGATTCCCGGCGGGTGGAAACATTTCGACACGTTTCCTTACACCTGTTGTCCTGTTCACCTAGCAGCAAATAGGTACCTGGGTGTTAGTCGACTGGTGTGGGTCGCATCCTGGGGGACAAGATTAAGGACCCCAATGGAAATAAGTTAGACAGTCCTCAATGACGCACTGACTTTCTTGGGTTATCCTGGGTGGCTAACCCTCCGGGGTTAAAAATCCGAACGAACTCTTATCTTATCTTATCACTTTCAGTTTGCTAAGTACAAAGAAAGCCACTATCATGCCGAGGCATTTCGGGCAGACTGATCCTAGTACATAATAACTACTTAAATCTAGACAAGATAAGAGTGGTTAACTTGTATTAAAATTTTTATTTAAGCTTATTACTAATGCAAAGTAGTCAAGGTGGAGGTTTATAAGAATAATAATCCTGAGAGTTGCTTCAAAATAATTAGAAGTTGTTTTGGATGGTTTGGATAGTACTGAGAGGTGAGATGATTTTTAAGCAAAGTCCTAAATTTATAAGTAGTCAGGGGATCCTTTATCGGTTCATCAAATCATGCTGCACAAGAATTTATGTACTTGATTGATATCTATGATACATTACACAAATAACATGGACATAGGAGACAGAAACTTATGACAATGTTTCAGTCCACCTTGGACCATTAACTAGTCATACACTGTGACTAGTTAATGATCCAAGTTGGACCAAAACACCTTCATAAGTTTCTTTCTCCTATGTGTGGGTTACTTGTGCATTGTTCCAATTACAGTATTGTGCTTTTTTTGTTTTTTATCTATGATTCATCTCTAAATTTGCAGGATATTTCAATAAAAAATCTAAATGCACACAATTTTATTTTGCTCACCAGGTAGCCTGTAGCAGGGAAAATGATACGTCCATCAATTGTGTGGCCTTCCAGGTAATGGTGCTCCTCAGACTCCAAGTCCACCTTCACCTCATACTCTGAGCCAGCTGGAGAGGTGCTAAAACGAGCCACATCCCACTCCTGACTATGGTCCCACCTTGACACCAAGTTAAAAAAAATAATTGTTATACGTATCTATTCTCTCAACATACAGAGTCCTACAACAGAAAAGAAAAAAATATAAGTACTATAATATCTTAGCATATATCACATCAGTTTCATTATGATAAAATTTTAATTTATAAATTACCTGATAAGGCTGGCAATAGAGGGGGTGGAGTGAGGGACAGGCATGGGAAGCGGAGGGTACAGTGTGCTCACATCCATGCTCACACCACACATGTACATCCTTTAAAGAAAACACATAAGAGAGCAATGTTATTTAATGTTTTCATGCACTTACAGGTTTCAGTTGAGCTAAGAAACTGCTATAATTTAGTATTGGTACTCAAAAGATCAAGGTCAAAGAAATCTGCAATATTTTTAAAAAATTTTGTGAATTTAAATAGTATTAACATTACAGACCATTTTACAACAGTAAATTTTGGTACTCAATCAAAATATACTGATCAACGTGTTTCATCAGTTCATGTACAGAACTTACTTCCCCAGAGCCTCCAAGAAGTGTGTTAGAGGGCACTTTGCATCTTTCCTGATAAGTGGGATAGGCACAGCCTGTGGCATTGACCTCCTCAGAATGGCTTGTAGCAGGCCATGAGGGGACACTTCCACTACCACAGCATCAGCAGGGATTTTTTCTAGTGCTTCGGCAAACAGCACTGCAAATTTAAAAAAATTGCCTTTTTTACAGTGTCAGTTTTGTTAATAGAGCACAGGTGCTCCTCAACTTATGATGGGGTTACATTCTGACAAACCAATCATAAGTCAAAAATATCACAAGCCGAATATGAATATGATAAATAAGCAAGTAAATAAATAACTACTGTCACTGAATAAGTAAATAAACAAATAATTACTGTAACTAACTAAATACCAGTACCACACACTGAATTGAAACTTTCCATACATTTCTTTTGCAAGTGAAGATATATTATACCTAAGTATTCAGTTGTTAAACACCCGAAGAAAGAATAGCCACCCTCTTATGTATCTGACTCAAATTTATTTTACTAACCCACTTAACCCTTTCAGGGTCCGTCCCGTAGATCAACGGCTTTACGTTGAGTGTCCAAACCGTAGATCTATGCCAAAATTCTAGCGCCGTCAAATTTAGCGCAAAAATGCTCATAGGCCTACATGTGAGAGAACGGGTCTGCGTGGTGGGTGTGTGCCATAAACAAAAAATCTAGGCGCCCGCATAGCATTGTGGGAACGCCGGCTCAGTTACCCTTGTTCACCATGCCTCGTCGCAAGTCAGCTCTCACTCCCCGGAAAATTGGGACTCTCCTCTTCCTATCTGATAGTTCTGACACTGATGGAAGTGGAAATGAAGACGAATTCTACGGCTTTGATCAGTTAGTGACCGAAAAGAATGACCAGGATATCGATAATAGTGCAGAAAACCCTGACGATCCTCAACCTTCTACCTCTGGTGTGGGCAATCGTGACTCACGGTCGGTTGTTCCTCATCACAAGAGAAAACTAATATTTTCGCGTGGCCAGGCCTCTGACTTCAGTAATGATGATGATAGTGACGTGGACTGTGATTTTATTGCACTCGACGATCATTCGAGTAGTGATAGTGAGGAATCATATTCACCAGTGAAGCGTCGGTATGTTCGCCACCGCATGCACTCGGGTAGTGTACCCTATGCTGTGCCCAGGGGACGGAGTACATCCCGGAGTACATCCCGTGGCCCAACACCAGTTTTAGGTAGTGATAGTGAGGATGATGTGGCTACACTTGGCATGGATAGACCACAGGCATCAGTGGATGGTGTTAGTGGTGATGGTAGTGGCACCGCCATGCGTGACTCACCAGGCCACGCTGGGACCCACGCTGCCGACTCGTCAGTTCAAGGACAAAGCGGAGCGCCAGCCACCAGCCCACCACAACTACAACCACCCGCACAACCAGCCTATGATGTCCAGTATCCACCAGCAAACCGTATGTGGGATTGGCAGTAAAATCCCAATTTTGTTCCCAAGCCTCACCACTTTGATGACTCTCAAAGTGGAATTCTACCTACTTGTCCCCTTGGAACCATGGCCAATGAACTGGAATTCTTTGAATTATTCTTTGACCAGCCATTGATGGAAATTATTGTCAGGGAAAGTAATAAGTATTTTGAGTACACCATGGCAAATACGATCTTATCACCACAGTCAAGACTACACTGGTGGAAAGAGACGACTGTTGCAGAAATGTATTTGCTTTTTGCAACAATAATGCTTATGCCTCACGTCTATAAGCATAATATAAAAGCATACTGGTCCACAGATCGGCTAATTTCTACCCCGGTCTTCAGTGAAATCATACCAGTGAACAGGTTTATCTTACTCTTACATATGTTGCACTTCTCTGACAAAACCAGGCCTGACAGAAGTGACAGGTTATACAAGATTAGAAATGTTTTCATGTATCTCAAACAAAAGTTCAGCATATACTTTTATCCATTCAAGAATCTTGTAATTGACGAGTCTTTGATTTTGTTCAAAGGTAGACTGTCATTCAAGCAGTATATACCGAGCAAGAGGAAACGCTTTGGTATAAAAACTGTTTGTACTCTGTGATTGTGACAGTGGCCTGGTGTTGGATATTGTTGTATACACGGGTAGTAAAACATTGAAAGATACCAAGATGTTATTGGGTATCTCAGGTGACGTAGTGAGAAACATGATGGCACCTTATCTTGGTAAGGGGCATACATTATATACCGATAACTGGTACACAAGCCCATTACTCAGTGATTTCATGCGAGTGAACAAGACAGATGTGTGTGGCACAGTCCGTTCTAATCGTAAACATATGCCCAGGCTCAACGCAGGTGCTCGTGGTGATGACGTGCAGGTGTTTACTGCCAATGACATCATGGCATTACGGTGGCATGACAAACGAGATGTCACATTGTTGACAACCATTCACCGTAATGAAATGCAAGACAGTGGCAAAGTTGATCGAGTGACTAATGAACGTATTCGAAAACCAGTGACAGTGATTGATTATACACAAAACATGCGCTTGGTTGACAAATGTGACATGCAGATTGGTTTTGTTGACTGTGTTTGTAAGAGTTACAAGTGGTACATGAAACTTTTCTTCCATCTCATGGACATTTCAATGCTCAATGCATATAATATGTACCAAATAAAGACTGGCAACAGACCACCGTATGGTGAATTTTGTTTGTCTGTTGTCAGACAACTCATAATGAAGTACCAGGTAACAACACCTGCTATACAACACGGTCCTCGAATTCCTCAGGATATACCCAAGCGTTTGAGGAGGGAAGGTGATCATTTCATAATACAACTTCCTTCAACTCAGAAGAAATTTGTTCAGAAGAGATGCATCGTCTGTGCACAAACAAAAAGACGGCAACAAAGACGCAAAGACACTCGGTTTATGTGTGAGGAATGTAAGGTGCCTCTGTGCATGGTGCCTTGTTTCAAGGAGTTCCACAAGCTCCAGCAGTTCTAAAACCATGTCCAGTGATTGTAAATATGTAAATATATAATAGAACATTAGTATTATACAAGATTTGTGCATGTTTATTGTAATAAACAACAGTGGTAAACAATAATATAATAATAACTTTAGTGCGGTTATTGTGTTCAATACAGTGAGTTTACATATATACATTATATACAGTATTGGTCTCTCAGGCCCCAAATGTTAGTAGGAATAGAAAAAAAATTGGAAAAGAAAAGAAAAAACAACAAAAACCGCAAAATAATGTAATGCGCGTATGTGGAATTCGTCGATGTTGCCGCCACCACATCATTTTCGACAAACTTCTTGGCACTGTATCTCGGTAAGTACTGATCAGAATTTTTTTTTTGTCTTATTACCTTCACAAAAATATGCTCTTTAATTCTGTAAGAAAAAATATTTTTTTTTTTTCAAAATTTCTTGGACACTGGAGCACCACTTCAGATTTTGGCCTTGGACCCTGAAGGGGTTAAAAGTGGTTGCTACTAATACAGAGTTTTCAATTATACAGTAATTCCTTTCTGCCAACTCATAAATTACCCATCAAACACATGCCAGAGTTACACATGTGACAGACCTGGAGAGAGAAGGTTGTTGACAAGGTACTCTGGTGAAGCAAAGTTAACTCCTGGCTCACTCCAGCGAGTTTCAGGCACTGAAGAACTAATCCACCTTGAGGACCGCTGCCGGGCACACAGAATCACCTGAACCATAACAATTAATACATTAGAACATTCCACTCTAGGAAATTTGTTCCAAGCCAATTAGGGTATTCCTTCTTAAATTGCAATTCAGTTTTTTAAAAATGCAATACCATACAAAAATTCCTTTTTGATATGTGTTGCAACAAAAATCATGATATGGATCAGAGTACTACAGTAAACCCTTAAATAAATTAGTACTGTACTGTATATCTTATAGTTTTCCCACTTTGCTAAGTGATAAGTTACATTAACAAAACCACAAAAAACTATTTTTATTTAAAGTTAATTAACTCATTATGTACCTTGCTTAGTTCTTGAAGGAGGCATGGGGCAGCAGCTTTGAGGGACGGATGGTGGAAGGCCACACCCTCTGACTTTACTGCACGACAGAATATTCCTTCAGCTGTGAGCTTCTCCAGCACTTCTTCGATGGCTTCTTTTGGACCCGACAGAGTGACAGAATCATGGGCATTATGGCAAGCCACCACTACACCATCCTTGCACCACTTCTCTGCTGCTTCTGCACTCAGACCTAGTAGGAAAGAGTAATCACATTTAAAATTTTCATTTAGCTGTCTGCTAGTAAAACATCACTTTGTGATAAGGATAATATGTTTATCAAATTACTGATACTGTTATTATATAAAGTGTATCAAGTGAATGTGAAATACAAGATAGATTATTCTTGCAAAGTACTTATACATACCAACAGCAGCCATGGCACCTGGGGGTAAGGTGGCCTCCTGAACAGCCCTGCCTCGCCAATAAGCTGCTAACACCGTTTGTTCAGCTGCTAGAGCTCCATCAGCGTAGGCACATCCCAATTCCCCGACACTGTGTCCCACTACCCCAGCTACCTCCGGCACCCCAACATGCTTTAGCAGGTCCACAAGGCCCACCTAGCATGGAAAGAATAATTACCAAATGATAATACTTTTTATCAAAAACCTGTGCCAACATTAAGGTACCCTGCCCCTCTTGAAGGGAAAGCTAATTCAAAATTTTCATTATTTATCATTTATGCTAGTTGTAGGGCACATAACTAATGGATACCTCAAAACTGAAATTTACTATCAATGCCTACAGGAAACTAGATTAGAATCAGTTTTGTCAAAAGTTCAATCCCATAACAGTTATTGCTCAAATGCAAACAAATAGTAGGAACTTGTTAATACTAATAATGCAAAAAAAAAGCAATTTAATTAAGGTAAAATAAATTTTTGCTACCTGCATTCCATTTCCAGAATGTACAGTACATTAATTGAAATTGAAACTGAAATGTTTATTTCTCTGTAAAGATTACAATGTGGGGTTTACATATTATAAAATATTAATTATGAAGAAGTCCACTAGCAGGCCTAGGCATTTTGTGCAGACTAATCCTAATTCTTACTCTATGTTGAAAGGTTATGGAGCATACTGATATTAAAGTTAAGTAACTGTAGTGATTAAATAGATTTACAATAGTGAGGTAGTTCAAAACATTTAAGAACATAACAATTTGTAAATTTAGTAATGAGAATGGTTTTGTCTTGCATGATACACAATTTCTATTAAAGCTCCTATACTGGAGTATACTTACTCTCAATTTACAATAATGTTTAAGGAAAAGTCCTCCTGGTGTATTACAGTACTTATATATACCGTATAGTCATACCTGCATGGCAGCAATGGCTGAGAAGCTAGCTGCTGTCGATGACATTACAGAAGGGTCTTCACTAGTCAGAATTTGTGTAAGGTCAAGTCCAAGTGGCAGGAGGGCAGCATGACACCGCCTGATTGAAGCAGCAAATACGGGGAGGCAAAAGAGTGCACGGCCACAGCCACTCCACTGGGAACCCATCCCAGAGAAGACCAGCCACAGGGGTCTTGGAGTGGGCGAGACATCTGACACCTGTACCAGGCAGTGGAAAGTGAACAATGGTAAATCTGAAAAGTTATTTAATTTTCATTTATGATAAATGTATCTATCCAAGATAAAGATCTAATTAACTTAATATCTCTCTCAATTATTCACGCAAATATTTTTGTTTATCAAATATCCCCATGTCTAAAAGAACAGATATAGGTCTGCCAATTATCTGACCATTCTGAAAAGAACTATGCATGGATCCTCAGAGATAAATAAATATAAGTGAAAATTGTTCTATCATTAATTAACCCCTTCTTAACTTTTATTGGATATGGAGGCACTTGTAAAAATAGAAAAGTACAATATCTGCAGTTTAATAAAATATGAGCTGAAATTATCTAAAAAAACACTTGGCTTTTAATACCTTCCTAATCTGTAGCATCACAGGCAATAATCTGTGGTTCAGCCAAATAAGCAATGCATCCACAGAAGTATTATTATGCATTTTTTTTCTCGCCTTCTCAGCCATTTTCTGTTCTAACCACAAATTTATTTAATTAATCTTCTGTTACATACTATTAGAATATCACTCAATCTTAGGACAGAGACTTTTGCACTCTGCAACTGCTTATCGTTATTCTATCTACCTTCCTAATAACACATGCTTCATAGATTATCTAGTTTACTGCCTTAAATCTACATTTTTTCTATGTACCACACCACTTAATTCATATCCACACATTAAGGATGACACAATCACTCAACCATCCAGTCATTTAGCCACATTTCAAGCTAAACAGTACTCTCACTGTACTGCCCACTTAAACTCATTACTCTTACCTTCACGACTAACAATGATTTATATCTATTAAAGGACATGGAATCATTCATAGTTACCTTTATTTAATGTATTAACTTTCAGCTGCAATCACTTTTAAGTTCATCTTGAAATTTCTATAGCCAAATACCAATTCTGTATATACCAACAAGCATGGGGTATAAGACATGCTTCTTCCATTTAAACCTTATTGTACTGACAGTTCCTTTGGCACCAACCACACTCAATACTTTCCATATTCCTTCAGTGATTGTCTTGCTGCAACCACCATGAAATCCACAATTTTTATTAATTTCCAGTTTATTAACTGTTTTCTATATCCATTAAAGCTCCACTCTACCATACAAAATTCACAATTGTCACCTCTCACATATACAATGGAACAATCACAGCAATTTTTATGAATATGTATTAATACATGTTTATAACAGTTCTCTAAAACATGTTTTCAAACATCTCACCTGCAAGACTTCTTTTTCTGAATTAATAACCACATATCCACGAGTTGGATGGCTATTGGTGGGCATATCAGACAGTTTATCAAGAAGGCCACATAGTGCTGGGGTAGCCATATTTTTAATTCCCTCCAGAAGTGTGGTCACTGCCTCCTCTGTACGACCGGAAGCCACCACCAACCTGGGCTGCTTTGAAAAAGTACTGTCCTCCTGGTTGAGTTTCTCAGTTGCATTCATATTAAAGTTACATTCTTCAGACATACCACTTGACGAAGAGGATGCTGGGTTTATTCTCTGAGTGGAGGGTATGAGGATACCCCTGGAGTGAGATGGAGAAGCAGGCTTTACAAAGTCCTCAGGGGAACGCAACAAGACATGGACATTGGCACCACCAAAGCCAAAGCTGTTTACTGCAGCATAGCCACCAGACCAAGGTGTGTTCTTGCTCACCACCTGTGAATATTTAATACATAACTGTGTATTTCACTATCACTTACAAACAAATAACCTGCACACAGGAGAAAGAAACTTATGACAACATTTCAGTCCGACTTGGACCATTAACTAGTCACACTAACATACAAGGGTATGGGAGCCAGAATATACATGAGAGGAAGGCAGTGACAGGACAAAGAGAGGAAGAAGAAAGAAGGAAGTGGAGACAGTCGTGGTAGAAAAGTTCAAACTTATAACTGTACACTGCAACTTTTAATTTTTTATGATAATTTCCCAAGCAATTACCAATATTCAGCAAGTATAATAACACATTCTTAGTAAACAGTTTGCAAATATATATGAATTAACAATTTAAATGCCATAGATACATAACTAGCAATTTGTCTAAGTAATTAACTAAGTCATTACCTTGATCCTGCCATCCAACAGTGGTGGGATGTTGGGATTGGGAGAAGAGAAGTGCAGATTTCCAGGTAGCTCTTTCCGCTGCATTGCCAGTAGTACCTGAACCATGAAATATGGAATGTGTTAATGGGAACTCATTGACTAATTCACAACAGTGATCAATCAGAAATCTACATATAATAAAAAACTTGTGGCTATGTGTTATAAAAGAACAGTTAGTTTAGCAATTATCAAAGTACAGTCATACCCTGCTTAATGTCATTTCAACCCATATCAAATTTGCCTTTATGCCACTTTTCTAGAGTAAATTTCAGTTCAGTGAACATCATTACGTCTGATTTTATGTCACTCAGCAACATCACCTACATCATAATTTTTTTTAATTGTGTTCATTATTTAAAAAAAATTATGACCAAAATGTGGTTTTAGTGTTCCTTAAGATTTAGAAATGGTTTTATTCTTTCATGAGTTATTTATGCTAATTTCACAGTGTTTGTTGTAATTTTAAGGCATTTTTAATTTGGTTACTTCATGGCCCTTGGAACCATTTAATGACATAGGGAGGGGTATGACTGTGTATCACTAAATATTAACAACAGGTCATTACTGAGGCAAAGTTGCAATTAAACTGACCTTGACTATGGAGCAGAGGCCAGATGCAGGTTCTGAATGGCCCATATTGGATTTAACTGAGCCCATCAGGAGTGGTGTTGAGCGACCAGGGCAGAACACCTCTGCTAGGGCCCCTACCTCCTGAGGGTCACCTGCCTGAGTAAGTAAGTAAGTTTATTCAGGTGTACACAAATACAGTTACACAGAATTATCATACATAGCGGCATATGTGTAAAGTACCTAGGATAACCAAAAAAGTCAGATAGAGTGACTTATTTCCATTGGGGTCCTTTTACCTTATTATTATAAAATAAAGGTGATAATATCTTATTATTATTCTATAATGGAGATAACATCTTATTTATTATTTTTATTATTATCACACTGGCCGATTCCCACCAAGGCAGGGTGGCCCGAAAAAGAAAAACTTTCACCATCATTCACTCCATCACTGTCTTGCCAGAAGGGTGCTTTACACTACAGTTTTTAAAACTGCAACATTAACACCCCTCCTTCAGAGTGCAGGCACTGTACTTCCCATCTCCAGGACTCAAGTCCGGCCTGCCGGTTTCCCTGAATCCCTTCATAAATGTTACTCTGCTCACACTCCAACAGCACGTCAAGTATTAAAAACCATTTGTCTCCATTCACTCCTATCAAACACGCTCACGCATGCCTGCTGGAAGTCCAAGCCCCTCGCACACAAAACCTCCTTTACCCCCTCCCTCCAACCCTTCCTAGGCCGACCCTACCCCGCCTTCCTTCCACTACAGACTGATACACTCTTGAAGTCATTCTGTTTCGCTCCATTCTCTCTACATGTCCGAACCACCTCAACAACCCTTCCTCAGCCCTCTGGACAACAGTTTTGGTAATCCCGCACCTCCTCCTAACTTCCAAACTACGAATTCTCTGCATTATATTCACACCACACATTGCCCTCAGACATGACATCTCCACTGCCTCCAGCCTTCTCCTTGCTGCAACATTCATCACCCACGCTTCACACCCATATAAGAGCGTTGGTAAAACTATACTCTCATACATTCCCCTCTTTGCCTCCAAGGACAAAGTTCTTTGTCTCCACAGACTCCTAAGTGCACCACTCACTCTTTTTCCCTCATCAATTCTATGATTCACCTCATCTTTCATAGACCCATCTGCTGACACGTCCACTCCCAAATATCTGAATACGTTCACCTCCTCCATACTCTCTCCCTCCAATCTGATATTCAATCTTTCATCACCTAATCTTTTTGTTATCCTCATAACCTTACTCTTTCCTGTATTCACCTTTAATTTTCTTCTTTTGCACACCCTACCAAATTCATCCACCAATCTCTGCAGCTTCTCTTCAGAATCTCCCAAGAGCACAGTGTCATCAGCAAAGAGCAGCTGTGACAACTCCCACTTTGTGTGTGATTCTTTATCTTTTAACTCCACGCCTCTTGCCAAGACCCTCGCATTTACTTCTCTTACAACCCCATCTATAAATATATTAAACAACCACGGTGACATCACACATCCTTGTCTAAGGCCTACTTTTACTGGGAAAAAATTTCCCTCTTTCCTACATACTCTAACTTGAGCCTCACTATCCTCGTAAAAACTCTTCACTGCTTTCAGTAACCTACCTCCTACACCATACACTTGCAACATCTGCCACATTGCCCCCCTATCCACCCTGTCATACGCCTTTTCCAAATCCATAAATGCCAAAAAAGACCTCTTTAGCCTTATCTAAATACTGTTCACTTATATGTTTCACTGTAAACACCTGGTCCACACACCCCCTACCTTTCCTAAAGCCTCCTTGTTCATCTGCTATCCTATTCTCCGTCTTACTCTTAATTCTTTCAATTATAACTCTACCATACACTTTACCAGGTACACTCAACAGACTTATCCCCCTATAATTTTTGCACTCTCTTTATCCCCTTTGCCTTTATACAAAGGAACTATGCATGCTCTCTGCCAATCCCTAGGTACCTTACCCTCTTCCATACATTTATTAAATAATTGCACCAACCACTCCAAAACTATATCCCCACCTGCTTTTAACATTTCTATCTTTATCCCATCAATCCCGGCTGCCTTACCCCCTTTCATTTTACCTACTGCCTCACGAACTTCCCCCACACTCACAACTGGCTCTTCCTCACTCCTACAAGATGTTATTCTTCCTTGCCCTATACACGAAATCACAGCTTCCCTATCTTCATCAACATTAACAATTCCTCAAAATATTCCCTCCATCTTCCCAATACCTCTAACTCTCCATTTAATAACTCTCCTCTCCTATTTTTAACTGACAAATCCATTTGTTCTCTAGGCTTTCTTAACTTGTTAATCTCACTCCAAAACTTTTTTTTATTTTCAACAAAATTTGTTGATAACATCTCACCCACTCTCTCATTTGCTCTCTTTTTACATTGCTTCACCACTCTCTTAACCTCTCTCTTTTTCTCCATATACTCTTCCCTCCTTGCATCACTTCTACTTTGTAAAAACTTCTCATATGCTAACTTTTTCTCCCTTACTACTCTCTTTACATCATCATTCCACCAATCACTCCTCTTCCTCCTGCCCCACTTTCCTGTAACCACAAACTTCTGCTGAACACTCTAACACTACATTTTTAAACCTACCCCATACCTCTTCGACCCCATTGCCTATGCTCTCATTAGCCCATCTATCCTCAATAGCTGTTTATATCTTACCCTAACTGCCTCCTCTTTTAGTTTATAAACCTTCACCTCTCTCTTCCTGATGCTTCTATTCTCCTTGTATCCCATCTACCTTTTACTCTCAGTGTAGCTACAACTAGAAAGTGATCTGATATATCTGTGGCCCCTCTATAAACATGTACATCCTGAAGTCTACTCAACAGTCTTTTATCTACCAATACATAATCCAACAAACTACTGTCATTTCGCCCTACATCATATCGTGTATACTTATTTATCCTCTTTTTCTTAAAATATGTATTACCTATAACTAAACCCCTTTCTATACAAAGTTCAATCAAGGGCTCCCATTATCATTTACACCTGGCACCCCAAACTTACCTACCACACCCTCTCTAAAAGTTTCTCCTACTTTAGCATTCAGGTCCCTACCACAATTACTCTCTCACTTGGTTCAAAGGCTCCTATACATTCACTTAACATCTCCCAAAATCTCTCTCTCTCCTCTGCATTCCTCTCTTCTCCAGGTGCATACACGCTTATTATGACCCACTTCTCGCATCCAACCTTTACTTTAATCCACATAATTCTTGAATTTACACATTCATATTCTCTTTTCTCCTTCCATAACTGATCATTTAACATTACTGCTACCCCTTCCTTTGCTCTAACTCTCTCAGATACTCCAGATTTAATCCCATTTATTTCCCCCCACTGAAACTCTCCTACCCCCTTCAGCTTTGTTTCGCTTAGAGCCAGGACATCCAACTTCTTTTCATTCATAACATCAGCAATCATCTGTTTCTTGTCATCCGCACTACATCCACGCACATTTAAGCATCCCAGTTTTATAAAGTTTTTCTTCTTCTCTTTTTTAGTAAATGTATACAGGAGAAGGGGTTACTAGCCCATTGCTCCCGGCATTTTAGTCGCCTCATACGACACGCATGGCTTACGGAGGAAAGATTCTTTTCCACTTCCCCATGGACAATAGAAGAAATAAAAAAGAACAAGAGCTATTTAGAAAAAGGAGAAAAACTTAGATGTATGTATATATATATATATGCATGTGCGTGTCTGTGAAGTGTGACCAGAGTGTAAGTAGGAGTAGCAAGATATCCCTGTTATCTAGCGTGTTTATGAGACAGAAAAAGAAACCAGCAATCCTACCATCATGCAAAACAGTTACAGGTTTTTGTTTCACAGTCATCTGGCAGGACGGTAGTACTTCCCTGGGTGGTTGCTGTCTACCAACCTACTACCTTATTATCATACTATTATGACTACTACACGAGGGTCATTAAGACTATTAACATTAAGATGTACACTATACGAATGTCATGCAATCATAAATATATTGTGAGGTGAATTATACATTAATAAAAATTAAAGTATGCATTTCAAGTCATGAAAAATAAATATTACTTCATATTAAAAGAAACTGAAGTAAATGATGTTACTGTACATCAGACAATGATGATTTCTAATATATACCCACAAAACATATTTTTTAAGGGGGTTTTGGCAGGTATATCCAAATGTCAATTCTTATTATTATTATCCAAATATCTTACTCTTGATAGGTAAGTGAATTCTTTAGTATGAAAATTTCAACAGCAGAATTGAAGAGAAGATAAGACCAACCTTGGTGCCTGTTCCATGGGCTTCAATGTATGTTACATCCAGGGGAGAGATGCCAGCATGGCTGTACAAATCCTGCATTAGGTCTCTTTGTACTTTTCCTGAAGGGAAAGTAACCCCTTCACCCTTGTGCCCATCAGTGTTTGCCCGAGCATGGACAACATGGGCATACACTCTGCGAGCTTCAGATGCACGCTGGAGGAAAATCACAGCAGCTGCCTCACTCCTCACATACCTGAGAACAGAACCTACTTTTTAGTTTTGACCACTCAATTTATTTAAGTATAATTAGCACACACTTTTCCTTTATTTCAAGATTAAAAAAATAATAATGTGACTACTGGTGATACTAACCCATCACCAGAGGCATCAAAAGACTTGCACTTGCCATCAGATGCAAGCATATTGAGAGCATTGAATTGCATAGAGTTCTGGGGCTTGAGTGTAAGGTTAGTACCTCCCACCACTGCTGCCTCAATTTCCCCATCACTTAATGCCAACCATGCTGTCTGAAGAGCCACCATCGAGGAAGAGCAAGCTGTGTCTATTGCGAAGCTGGGACCTGGGTCAGATAACTTATTATTATTATGATGGCTAGCAATATGCAGTACTGTACCAACTTGCTTATATTTTTATAGTAACTTATTACAAAGTCAATCTCCTTTCATTATAGCAAAGTGAAGCAGCTCACTCATTATGTTTAACAAAAAATTAAAGAAAACTAAAATTAAATTTTAAAAATATGCAAATACTGTACGTAATATGGTGTCTACTAGTAAAATTTTAGAAATAAAAGGGGTTTGAGATATTTGCTGTTCGGAGTGATATCTGAACTGTTGTATCTGAGTGCCTCTGCAAAGACAGGTTATGTGCAGGTGGTGGTGGGAGTGTTGAATGATGGCCAAAGTGTTTCTTTCTGTTTCGAGTCACCCTGCCTTAGTGAGAGATGGCCAATGTGTTGAAAGAAAAAAGTGCTGTATATAATATCTATTAGTAAAATTTTAAATGTGTGTAATACAGTATCTACTAGTAAAATTTAAAAAATATACAAGTACTGAATGTAATACAGTATAGTATTTACTAGTAACTTGCCTTTGAAGTCAAAAGTATAGGATAATCTGTTGGGAAACATGGCACGGCAACAGCCAGTAAGAGCATAGCCAGAAACAGCTGGGTCAGCTGTCCATGCCTCCTCGCTCTCACTGCTACTCACACCCACATATACGCCCACACGACGCCCTCGCAGCTCACTTGGGTTCATGCCTGCGAAGTTGTTACCAGAATTTCGGAAAAATTGTAGTAACATTTCAATAATTTTACTTACAGTAACATTAATCATTTTTTCTGCCAGCGACTACGGTAGTTTATCATGCACACTTTGTGTCCTGTGGACGGAAGTGCAAGAATGTTTTTATGCACAAAGTCCTATTAACTATGTCTCAAAGAGTACATCTAGGTATGAATTTTAAATGAACACACATAGTATATAACATTTTGAACCGGATGGTTAGATGAGTATGATTTTTACTGCATATATTTTGAAACAGATATATATTTTGTAAACAGAAAAGAAAAATACAAATATACAAGTTAAAACAATCATATAATTATACAAGCTTTCTGTATGTTCAGTATGCATAATGTCCTGAATACTGTAAGAATAATAATAATACTAATGCTAATAATAATAATAATGTTTATTTCTACAGGTACATGATACAACTTATACAGACCATAGCTGACATCAATGACATACTACACAGAAAGCCCCTGGTTATACTGTACAGTATCCTCAGTATCAAGTACCAGTATTACATACTGTCAAAAAAGGACAACTGTAACTTGCTTGAAACATATTAAGAAATGTAATCACAGCTTTACCAGCATCTACAATGGCCTCATAGGTGAGCTCCAGCAGAAGGCGTAGCTGGGGATCCATGGCATGAGCCTGACGTGGAGACACACTGAAGAAAGCACTGTCAAAGTGGGTGAGATCAGGCAGCTTGCCAGAGCGTTTAGGAAGATTGTGGATACCTGCAATTTGAACAGACTAATTTTGCTAACAAAACAACAATCAGTTTGAAACTCCAAAGTTTATTTCAGATAAGGGGTGGAAGGTGAGGATTTAAAGATGTACAATATTTATCCTGCTCAACAATAAATGGCCTGCCCAAATCACCCCAAATATGATATGCTTCAATAACATAGTACTAAATCTTTCTTACATTTTTAGTGGTATTTTTGAGAAAAATTAACAAAATTACCATAAAGCATGCTAAATATTACCTTTTTGTTCTAAGAATCTAAATATATACTTCATCATAGAAATAACTATAGTATACAGTGGTACAGTACCTCGGGATACAAAATTAATTCATTCTAGAAGGCTGTTCGAGTAATGATACCGAACGAATTTGTTCTCATATGGAATAATGTAAAGTACATTAATCCATTTCAGACCCCCAAAAATACACTTACAAAAGCACTTACATAAATACACGTACATAATTGTTTGAGTTTCGAGTTGTTCGTATCCCGAGGTACCACTGTACTACAATTTTAATTAATTTTTAAAACTACAGAAATTGAATTAACACATTTTGACTTCTGTATGTAGAGATATTAGTACAGCAATAAAAAATGAAAAGTTTAACTTCTAACTATACCTGGGGAGGGTTTTGGGGGTCAATGCCCCTGAAGCTTACTCTGAGAGCAGGCCTCGTGGTGGATCAGGGTCTGATCAACCAGGCTGTTACTGCTGGCTGCATGCAAACTGATGTATGAACCACAGCCCGGCTGGTCAGGTACTGACTTTAGGTGCCTGTCCAGTGCCTTCTTGAAGACACCCAGGGATCTATTGGTAATCCCCTTTACGTATGCTGGGAGGCAGTTAAACAGTCTTGGTCCCCAGGCACTTACTGTGTTGTCTCTCAGTGTACTTGTGGCACCCCTGGTTTTCATTGAGGAAATGTTGCATCTCCTGCCGAGTCTTATGCTTTCATAGGGCGTGATTTTCATGTGCAAGTTTGGTACTAATCCCTCCAGGATTTTCCAAGTGTATACGTATTATCGTGTATCTCTCTCTCTTGCCTGGGTTCCGGGGAATACAAATCAAGGGACTTCAACAGTTCCCAGTAATTTAGGTGCCTTACCATACTTATGTGTGCCATGAAAATTCTTTGTTCACTCTCCAGGTCAGCAATTTCGCCTGCCTTGAGGTGAGGCAGTTAGTGTCCAGCAGTATCCCAGCCTAGAGAGAACAAGCAATTTGAAGAGAATCATCATGGGCTTGGCATCACTAGTTTTGAAGGTTTTCATTATCCATCCTATCATTTTCCTAGTAGATGTGACAGATACATTGTTGCGGTCTTTGAAGGCGAATTCCTCTGACATTATCACTCCCATGTCCTTCACATTACTTTTTTGCTCTAATGTATGGTTAGAATTTGTTGTATACCCTGATACAGTTTTAACTTCCTCAAGTTTTCTATATCTGAGTAGTTGAAATTTCTCTTCACTGAACTTCATATTGTTTTGAGTGGCTCATTTGAAAATTTGGTTGATGTCCGTTTGGAGTCTTGCAGTGTCTTCGATGGAGGTCACTGTCATGGCAATTTGGGTGTCATCCGCAAAGGAAGACACGGAGCCATGACTTACATCTTGTCTATGTCAGATATGAAGATGAGGAATAGAATGGGAACGAGTACTGTGCCTTGTGGAATAGACCTTTTCACCATAGTTGTATAATGTATACTAATTTCCCAAAATGCTATGTATAACTAAGGGCTTTTCCTTGTAAGATTTACTGTTATATTTCTATTGTAATTCAAATGTATCTTCTTGGAAAATACAAATATCTTATGTACCATGAACACAATCAGAAGGGTAAGTAAACTGGAAAAATATTGTAAACACAAACAGTGGAAATAAATCACCTAGTCTGATCTCTTTTGGGTTACCCTAGGTAATTTACACTATGTATGATAACTGAACTTATGTATACCTGTGCCTAAATAAACTTACTACTATACATATTGTCGAGAAGAATAGTCACAGTAAACATACAACTTGAAAATGAAAACTTAAATTATTTCAGCTCATCCTGGACCAGTATCAAGTCACAAATAGGAAAATCATGAAAATCAAAACTTTTATGAAGGCAGCAGATAAAAAAGTGAAGACTTGATCAAGTGTAATGTGTTTTGGAAATGAGAGCATATCATAATGTACTACAGTACTTAGAAAAGAGCAAGCTTTTATAGAAACATAACTGATGTTAAGATTTGTATTAGGAATATGTATTATCTTAGCCCCAACTGTATGTTAGGAATATGTATTACCTTAGCCCCCAACTCTATTTCAGTGGATGCTTACCTCTTCCAGTCGAGTGTCAAATACTCAAATTATAACACATAACTTGGCCTTACTTTGGCCATTTCCTCATTTACCCCTGCCTCGACTTTACTTCTGGCTTTTGCTTTTTTGTTTTACTAGTGACTTGATAATGGCTCAGGACAGACCAAAACATCACATTTACATTTCTGATTTGTCAGCCTCTTGTGATATTTTGTCAAGCATCTTAATATCAGCAGACATTGATAATCTGAACATAATTATCAAACCTTACTGTAGTATGATTTAGTGAGGGGTGTATAAATCTGAGGTAGATGGAAGGTGTAGGGAATATTCCAGGAAAGCTGGAGGGAGGATGTGATGGCTTTGAGTGGTAGGGGCCTGAGAATCCAGCAGGCATATGTGAGCGTGTAACATCATAGTAAGTCACTTCGTCTAACTTTTTTCTGGGTTATCCTAGGTATGAAAATTGGTGTAACTGTATTTGTGTGCCTGTACCTGAATAAACTTATTAAGTGGTTCTTGGGATTTTACAAGGTTAGTGCTTTTAGTTAATTAAATGAACTGACTTTCTTACCTGGCACCCAGCGGCGACCATCCTCAGTGACCATATCCACCCCAGAGAAGAGGTTATTGGCAAACTCCTCAATGTTATTGCTCTCTGGGAAGCGGCCGGACATGCCACTAATTACCACACCCTCCCGGCCACGAGCTCCACTAGATCTCTGTAAATAAAAGTTAGTTTGTTAAGCTTGGAGACTACATAAACTCATTAATGCTGATGGATTTATGAAGGATGAGGTTAGTCATAGAATTGATGAAGGAAAAAAGGTGAGTGGTGCGTAGAGGTATATGTGGAGACAAAAAACGTTATCTGTGGAGGCAAAGAAGGGAATGTATGAAAGTATAGTAGTACCAACACTCTTATATGGGTGTGAAGCTTGGATTGTGAATGCAGCAGTGAGGAGGCGGTTGGAGGCAGTGGAGATGTCCTGTCTAAGGGCAATGTGTGGTGTAAATATTATGCAGAAAATTCGGAGTGTGGAAATTAGAAGGTGTGGAATTAATAAAAGTATTAGTCAGAGGGCTGAAGAGGGTTTGTTGAGGTGGTTTGGTCATTTAGAGAGAATGGATCAAAGTAAAATGACATGGAGAGCATATAAATCTGTAGGGGAAGGAATGCTGGGTAGAGGTCGTCCTCGAAAAGGTTGGAGTGAGGGGGTAAAGGAGGTTTTGTGGGCGAGGGGCTTGAACTTCCGGCAAGCGTGCATGAGCGTGTTAGATAGGAGTGAATGGAGATGAATGGTATTTGGGACCTGACGAGCTGTTGGAGTGTGAGCAGAGTAATATTTAGTGAAGGGATTCAGGGAAACCCGTTATTTTTATATAGCCGGACTCGAGTCCTGGAAATGGGAAGCACAATGCCTGCACTTTAAAGGAGGGGTTCGGGATATTGGCAGTTTGGAGGGATATGTTGTGTAACTTTATACGTATATGCTTCTAAACTGTTAGTGTTCTGAGCACCTCCGCAAAAACAGTGATTATGTGTGAGTGAGGTGAAAGTGTTGAATGATGAAAGTATTTTCTTTTTGGGGATTTTCTTTCTTTTTGGGTTACCCTGCCCCGATGGGAGACGGCCGACTTGTTAAAAAAAAAAATATAGCATACATTCAGTAAATGTTATTTCGCTTTTTTTTTCTACACAGTTAAATTTACAGGCTAAGAGCTGTTACCCAACCTTAGCTTATTTCAAAGTCCAGCCCTATCTAAGATATAACCCCCCAGATGCAACCCACACCAGTCGACTAACACCCAAGTATCTAATTACTGCTAAGTGAACAGGGACAGCAGGTGTAAGGAAACATGTCCAATATTCCCACCAGTGCCAGATATCTAACCATGAACAATAAGAGACAACACAATAAGTGTCAAGGGCTCAAGACACTGCCTCCCATCATACATAAGCTTTGGACAGGCACCTAAATTCAGCGCCTGACCAGCTGTGGTTCATACGTCAGTTTACGTGTGGCCAACAGTAACGACCTAATTGATCAGGCCCTGATCCACCACGAGGCCTGGTCACAAACCTGGAAAGGGTTTTGGGGGCATTGACCCCCAAAAACCTCTCCAGGTATACTCAAGGTATGGGCCCTCAGTGAGCTCTGGGGCACTACCAACCATTATAAGCAATAATAATAATAATAATAATAATAATAATAATAATAATAATAATAATAATAATAATAATAATAATAATAATAATAATAATAAATTTATTTCTTTTCTGCAGTATACAAGTAATGTAGTTTAAATGTAATAAAATACTGTCAGGCCCCGTGACTGATGGCAAAAGCTCTCTCACACAGTGAAGGTCCAGGTTCGATTCCGGGGAAGGGTGGACATGTTTCCTTACACCGGTTGTCTATGTTCACCCATCAGTATAAAATGGGTACCTGGGTATTTGTCGACTGGTGTGGGTCGCATCCTGGGACAAAACTAACCTAATTTACCCGAATTGCTCAGCATAACAAGCGGCTTTCTATATAATAGTATGTCATTGATGTCAGCTACGACTGTATACCTTGTATATGTACTTGTAGCAAATAAAGATATTACTATTAAAAAAAGAGAAAGGCAACAGCAGGCAGTTCATTTCAGCCTATTACTTTCGTTCATAATAGCTCACTTAACTATAATTATAGTAAATTACTGTTTATGAATAACATTAATGAACTAAGACACAATCACCAATACTTCAGGTGTCATTGACCTACATGAATAAAACAGTTAATAAAAACTCTGCTTCATTTCACAGTCACTACACACTTTCCCTGCACAACACTCAACTGCAGATTATGTAAAAACTTTTGGTTAATACTTTTTATTCATGCTTTTTTTCCCGTCAACGGTTTGAATACAAAACCAACATTTCACTATGAATAGAAAAAATCTTGTGCATCAAGAGGAAGCACTAATAATAAATATCCGCCTAAATAAGGTTAGTGAGAATATTTACAAATTCTTACGTAACTTTTAGCTATTATCTTTAAAAGTAACCAATGACATTTACATTAATAAATGTTTTATGCAGGCAATTATTAATATGGTTTATTGACATTTTACTTTAGTTTATCTTCTTTTGTATAACTCCTCCGTTTTCTTTAGCTGGTGTCGCAGCCCTAACTTGGTGTCAAATGTTGAGCACACCCCATTTTTGACCTTTTTATTAAATAATCCTTTCATTATCAATCTTAAGAAAATGTACTTTATCAAAATTGCCGTATTTTTTTTATTAAGCTGCAAATAATAATAATAAATATAAAAGCCTAGGAATTTTTAAAACAATGTAGGTATATTACCGGCAGTTTAAGAAAGTACACAAACTGTAACCTATTTTTTTTCAGTCCCATTATTAATAATATTAATAAACTAGTATAAACTTTTTTTTAAACAAGTGTATAACTTTTCTTAATGTTTACTGTCACGTCTATCTTGCTTTACTGTTTACCGTCTCTTAAGATTGATATATTCAGAACTTGACTCGCCTTACCGGCAATTTGACAGCTGTCACGCCAGCCGGCACCCACTGCCACATTGTTACTGATTTAGATTATTATTATCTTAGAGAACCGCTAAACCCCTGAGGGCCATACAGCATCTGGCGAATGCAAGACAATTAAGTTTGATCCAAGGAAGGGACGGACAGCTCCAGTTCTCTGGATCAAGAACCATTCACAGGAAACTTCACCTTGAAGGTTGACACATCACTTAAAAATATTTTCACCACACTTTTGACTAACAAAATATCCAATAGATTCAATTCACAGTTGATGAGATGTACAGCAAAAATATTTATGAAAGTGATGGCAAATATAGACACTGCTTTCACTTGCATTCAAAACATAGGAAACACAAGTCATGAGTGCAAATATATGAAAGTCCATTGATATTAATTATGCAAAAAAAAACACAGTATTAATCTATATTAATTATATTTAACTTGAAATAATAACATTTAAAATTTAATTACGTATTAGTGGATAATTAACATCACGTTCCCTTTAATTCAACCAACAAACACAAACCAACATCATTTGACAATTCTAATTAGATCAAGTTACCCCTTAAACCAAGAGCTAGAGAGTGACAAGAACAAACCCTTAAATAAAGTGGTTAAAAACCAAGTTACCCTTTAAACCAAGAGCTAGAGATTGACAAGACCTAACTAATCCTTAATTAAAGTGCTTTCCCAAACCAAACCACTCCTTGAATTAGAAGCTAGAATTATACCCAGACCAGACACTACCCCTTGAAATGGGCACTTTCCCTGACCAAAGAAACCCCTTAAGCCAGGAGCTAGAGCTTGAAAAGACCACTCGCCTTGATGTCATCGTTGAGAGGTGTGATCATGGCTGGGTCTTCAGGTTTGGTCTCTGTGAGAGTTTCTGCGTAGGCCGGCATGGTCCTGTGGTCTTTATACCAGTGTACAAGAGCAAGTGATCTGAAAAGGGAACACTGCAGAGTTTACATGAACAAAATCCTGGAGTCCTGTCACTTTTTTAAAAGCTTCATGCGAGACAAACACAACTTGGAAAGTTACGCTTAGTATCACAGGATAAAAATTAACATTTCACAAATAAGTCTAGAAATAACTACAAACATCTAGTTATACACTGAAGAGGATCCCAGAAAGGGGTCGAAATATACACATTAATCAACCTTTTGTGTTTCTGTCTCCATGTGGGATATTATTGAGCATTAACAAGTGTTCATTACACTTCAGTTATTCATCTAGTTATACGTTCATTAACAGCTGCAATATATATGTATATATTCCCATATTTCAGCAGGACTTTTTCTCCGATATGAAATGTAAATTGACGCGATGAGCCAAATTGTTCGCTTTACAATAATTCAAATGCGACACTTTGTTACACTCTCACTTAAAATACTAGTTAAGTGTACTTACGGAAGTTACCGCGCACTTAGTTATATCTAGTTAACACAGCAGCCAGAGTTATGTAGCGGTGCTATCCTGGTAAACCTTTCTGGTGCACTACAGGATCATTTGCCAGGCTCGCTTTATAGGCTCTCTAAACATCAATTTCCAGGCGGGTCTCGGCCGAGGTGGCACCACTCCACACAGCCAATCATCACCCAGCATTTTCATGACGTGCCGACTCGCCACAACCAATTGCCGCTCCACGTTTTTCATGACGTGCCCATGTGGCTGGAGCCAATCACCGCGTGGTAATCCGTGACGTCGTGCCTCTCCACAGCCAATGGGCAGGAGATATTCCAAAACGTCACCAGTTCCCTCCAGCCTCAGCCAATGAGCGTGCGCGTAATTCCTGAAAGCCGCGGCGCCACGTTCGTATGGCGTGATGCGCCGGTGGAAAAGCTTTTGCAGCATTCAGCCACGACTCCTGCTATTGATCGCTCTCACACCTGATAACCTGAGCACGATAAGTAATACAGATATACACTGGGAAGTTTGCGACGAGAATAGCACTTTTAAACAACTAAATCAAGCTATATTCTTCCGCAGACTCATGTTCCAGATTGAACTGCATTTTCCCTTTCAGCTGGGTGGGCGAGCCATGAGAGTGTCAATAAACCATGTGATGAACAAAGATCACCAGAGACAAACACAAATAAGTATTTAGGTACATGTACGCATAGTTACACAAATTATACATAGTAACATATGTAAATTACCTTGGAAAACCCCCTCAAAAAGGTCAAGTTTATTTAGTCACAAGTACACATAAATAGTTACACAAATTATACATATTGTAAATTACTTAGGATAATCCCCTCAAAAAGTCTAATTGATTTATTTAGGTACAGGTACACCTACGTACAATTATGCCTAGAAACATGTAAATTATCTAGGATAACTCATTATGGAAGGAATGGTCCCAAATCTGCACACAGAAATCACTCCCTACGAAAGTAAAAGACTGGGCAGGCGATGCAAAATGCCGCCAATAAAAAGTAGGGGCGCCATTGGTACACTAAGAGAAAACACCATAAGTTTCCGGGGCCCAAAACTGTTCAACAGCCTCCCAGCAAGCATTAGGAGATTTGCCAATAAACCCCTGGCTGCCTTCAAGAGAGAGCTGGACAGATACCTAAAGTCAGTGCCGGATCAGCCGGGCTGTGGCTCGTACGTCGGACTGCGTGCGGCCAGCAGTAACAGCCTAGTTGATCAGGCCCTGATCCATCGGGAGGCCTGGTCATGGACCGGGCCGCGGGGGCGTTGATCCCCGGAATAACCTCCAGGTAACCTCCAGGTATCCGCACCCAAACATCTTGCTGCTGGGTGATTTCATATTAAGACACCTACAGTGGAGGAATGTTGTAAATAATGTTTTAGCAGAGAAACCCCAGGAGGCAGCTCATGAAAATTCACACACACACACACACACACACACACACACACACACACACACACACACACACACACACACACACACACACACACACACACACACACACACACACAGGAGGAGAGTGGTCGAACACCTGGAAAGGAACAAGATTATAAATGAAAACCAGCATGGGTTCATGGAAGGCAAATCTTGTATCACAAACCTCCTGGAGTTTTATGACAAGGTAACAGAAGTAAGACACGAGAGAGAGGGTTGGGTAGATTGCGTTTTCCTAGACTGCAGGAAGGCCTTTGACACAGTTCCTCACAAGAGATTAGTGCAGAAGCTGGAGGATCAGGCACACGTAAAAGGAAGGGCACTGCAATGGATAAGGGAATACCTGACAGGGAGGCAGCAACGATGTCATGGTACGTGAAGAGGTATCACAGTGGGCGCTGTTACGAGCGGGGTCCCACAGGGGTCAGTTCTAGGACCAGTGCTATTTTTGATATATGTGAACGACATGATGGAAGGAATAGACTCTGAAGTGTCCTGTTCGCAGATGACGTGAAGTTGATGAGAAGAATTAAATCGGACGAGGATGAGGCAGGACTGCAAAGAGACCTGGAGAGGCTGGACATGTGGTCCAGTAACTGGCTTCTCGAATTCAATCCAGCCAAATGCAAAGTCATGAAGATTGGGGAGGGGCAAAGAAGACCGCAGACAGAGTATAGGCTAGGTGGACAAAGACTACAGACGTCACTCAGGGAGAAAGACCTTGGGGTGACCATAACACCGAGCACATCACCGGAGGCACACATCAACCAAATAACCGCTGCAGCATACGGGCGCCTGGCAAACCTGAGAATAGCGTTCCGATACCTTAATAAGGAATCGTTCAAGACACTGTACACTGTGTATGTTAGGCCCATACTGGAGTATGCAGCACCAGTCTGGAACCCACACCTGGTCAAGCACGTCAAGAAGTTAGAGAAAGTACAAAGGTTTGCAACAAGGCTAGTCCCAGAGCTCAAGGGAATGTCGTACGAGGAAAGGTTAAGGGAAATCGGACTGACGACACTGGAGGACAGAAGGGTCAGGGGAGACATGATAACGACATACAAGATACTGCAGGGAATAGACAAGGTGGACAGAGATAGGATGTTCCAGAGAGGGGACACAGGGACAAGGGGTCACAACTGGAAGCTGAAGACTCAGACGAGTCACAGGGACGTTAGGAAGTATTTCTTCAGTCATAGAGTTGTCAGCAAGTGGAATAGCCTAGCAAGTGAAGTAGTGGAGGCAGGAACCATACATAGTTTTAAGAAGAGGTATGACAAAGCTCAGGAAGCAGAGAGAGAGAGAGGATCCAGTAGCGATCAGTGAAGAGGCGGAGCCAGGAGCTGAGTCTCGACCCCTGCAACCACAATTAGGTGAGTACAATTAGGTGAGTACACACACACACACATACACACACACACACACATGAGCTATTAAATCTCTGCAACAAATTCACGTTAAGCTAGCAAACAGTGGAGCTAACAAGACTGGAAAATACATTTGACCTCATCTTGATAAATTAGACACATGTGCAACTCTTGGGTATCTTTATTGAGGAAACGTTTCGCCACACAGTGGCTTCATCAGTCCATACAAAGGAGAATCTTGAAGAACAGGAGGAGAATGAGGTAATCAGTCCCTCAACCTTGAGTCGATGTGGTCAGTCCATCAATCTTGAATAGAAGATTGATGGACTGACCACATCGACTCAAGGTTGAGGGACTGATTACCTCATTCTCCTCCTGTTCTTCAAGATTCTCCTTTGTATGGACTGATGAAGCCACTGTGTGGCGAAACGTTTCCTCAATAAAGATACCCAAGAGTTGCACATGTGTCTAATTTATCAACATGTCGGTTCTCTGAACCATTCATCTACTGACCTCATCTTCACTAATAATGATGATTTGATACCAAATGTAACAGTATCAAAGACAATACATTCAGATCATAACATAAAAAAGGTCCAGACATGTATGCACAGGGTTCCTGACCAGCGTACGGTGACCACTTATGCAGGTGCCTTAACCAAATTCAACTTTAGTAACAAAAACATACAGTGGATCAAATCAACTATGTCTTTAATGAAACAAGCTGGAAAGATATTCTAAACAACACGGATCCGAACTTTGCCTAGAAAGTCTCCTCAAGGGAGGTTCCTTGACACTGGTGAGGGGCTCTTGATCTAGGAAATTGGATCTGTGCTACGGTTCCCTGAATTAAGCCTGAATACTTTCCATCCCCCCAATTGAGCTGTATAATCCTACGGGTTTAACGCTCCCATGTTTATAATAACAATTGCCTAGAAAGAATTAACGCTGTGGCACTTAAGGTAAGCTCAAGGCACATTCCTTTAAGAAAAAAAAAAGAGACAAGATGTAAACTAGAAAGAGAGAGACACTCCCTATACAGGCGAAGGCGAAGAATCACAGAGTTGCTGAGAGGGGCTAGTATATCCGAAATACGAAAGGAGGCACTGGTCAGAGAAATAATAAATATCGAATTTAAGCTTAAGGAATCACACAGGAGACAAAAAACACAGGAAGAACTTGAAGCCATAAATGCAATCGAAAGAAACCCAAAATACTTCTTTTCTTATGCCAAATCTAGGGCAAAATAACATCAGGTATTGAATGTTGCTTTTGCCCTAGGGATGCCAAGCCCATGATGAGTCTTTTCAAATCGCTTATTCTCTCTAGGCTGGAATATTGCTGTACACTAATGGCCCCTTACAAGGCAGGCGAAATTGCCGACGTGGAGAATATGCAGAGAGCTTTTACGGTACATATGAGTACGATGAAGTACCTAAATTACTGGGACAGTTGAAGTCCCTTGATTTATATTCTCTAGAAGGCAGGTGAGAAAGCCATAATATACACTTAAAAAATCCTAGAGGGACTAGTCCCAAAATTGCACACGAAAATCGCTCTTTACAAAAGCAAAAGACTTGGCAGGAGATGAAACATCCCCCAATGAAAAGCAGAGGTGCCACGAATATGCTAAGAGATAACACAGTGTCAGGGGCCCAAGACTGTTAACTCCCTCCCAGCATACATAAGGGGAATTATCAATAGACCCCTGGCTGTCTTCAAGAAGGCACTGGACAGGCACCTAAAGTCAGTTCCCGATCAACCGGGCTGTGGTTCTTACGTCGGTTTACGTGCAGCCTTCAGTAACAGCCTGGTTGATCAGGCCATGATCCACCATGAGGCTTGGTCACAGACCTGGCCGAGGGGGCGTTGACCCCGAAACCTTCTCCTGGTATACTCCAAGTACACATGCGGCTCATCCTGCAGGATAGAATGATGATAGATGGACTGACTGGTGTCAGTCTTAAGTCAATAAAGCTCACTTGAAGTTCTTTTCGTATTACTGTTCTCAAACTGTTTACTGACATGCCAAGATAATAATATATGTCCTGTAGCTCGATTGCTAGTGTACTCAGCTTACACATTGAGGTCCGGAGTTTGAATCTCCGGTACGGCTGGAAAACATTAAGGACGTGACTCACGAAATCGTAATGACACGATTTCAAACAAACCATACCACGGATGGGGTTTGAACCCGCGGTAAGAGAGTCTCAAAACTCCACACCGTCGAGTTTTGAGACTCTCTTACCGCGGGTTCAAACCCCATCCGTGGTATGGTTTCATTAGGGACGTGTTTCC